CGAAAGTAGCCCAATTTTGGGCTACAAAGTAGCGAAAGTAGCTCAATTTTGGGCTACAGAGTAGCGAAAGTAGCCCAATTTTGGGCTATAAAGTAGCGAAAGTAGCCCAATTTTTGCCCTAAAAAGTAGCAAAAGTAGCCCAATTTTGGGCTACAAAGTAGCGAAAGTAGCCCAATTTTGGGCTACAAAGTAGCGAAAGAAGCCCAATTTTGGCCTAAAAAGTAGCGAAAGTAGCCCAATTTTGGCATAAAAAGTAGTGAAAGTCGCCCAATTTTGGCCTAAAAAGTAGCCCAATTTTGGCCTAAAAATTAGCGAAAGTAGCCCAATTTTGGCCTAAAAAGTAGCGAAAGTAGCCCTATTTTGGCCTAAAAAGTAGCCCAATTTTGGACTAAAAAGTAGCGAAAGTAGCCCAATTTTGGCCTAAAAAGTAGTGGAAATATCCCAATTTTGGCCTAAAAAGTAGCAAAAGTAGCCCAATTTTGGCCTAAAAAGTAGCCCAATTTTGGCCTAAAAAATAGTGAAAGTAGCCCAATTTTGGCCTAAAAAGTAGCAAAAGTAGCCCAATTTTGACCTAAAAGTAGCGAAAGTAGCTCATTTTTTGACCTAAAAAGTAGCTCATTTTTTGACCTGAAAAGTAGCTCATTTTTTTCCTAAAACGTAGCGAAAGTAGCCCAATTTTAGCCTAAAAAGTAGCGAAAGTAGCCCAATTTTAGGCTAAAAAGTAGCGAAAGTAGCCTAATTTTGGCCTAGAAAGTAGCCCGATTTTGGCCTAGAAAGTAGCTCAATTTTGGGCTACAAAGTAGCGAAAGTAGCCCAATTTTGGGCTACAAAGTAGCGAAAATAGCCCTATTTTGGGCTACAAAGTAGCGAAAGTGGGCAAAAAGAAACGAAAAGTAGTAGTAGTAGCGAAAGTAGAAACAAAGTAGCGAAAAGAAACTTTTTTGGGCTACAAAGTAGTGAAAGTAGCCCAATTTTGGGCTACAAAGTAGCGAAAGTAGGCCAATTTTGGGCTACAAAGTAGCGAAAATAGCCCAATTTGGGGCTACAAAGTAGCAAAAGTAGGCCAATTTTGGGCTACAAAGTTGCGAAAGTAGCCCAATTTTGGGCTACAAAGTAGCGAAACTAGCCCAATTTTGGCTACAAAGTAGCGAAAGTAGCCCAATTTTGGGCTACAAAGTAGCGAAAGTGGGCGAAAAGTAGTAGTAGTAGCGAAAGTAGAAACAAAGCAGCGAAAAGAAACTTTTTGGGGCTTCCAATTTTGGACCCAATTTTGGGCTACAAAGTAGCGTAAGTAGCCCAATTTTGGGCTACAAAGTAGCCCAATATTGGGCTACAAAGTAGCGAAAGTAGCCCAATTTTGGCCTAAAAAGTAGGGAAAGTAGCCCAATTTTGGCCTAAAAAGTAGCGAAAGTAGCCCAATTTTGGCCTAAAAAGTAGCCCAATTTTGACCTAAAAAGTAGCAAAAGTAGCTCATTTTTTGACCTAAAAAGTAGCTCATTTTTTTCCTAAAAAGTAGCCCAATTTTAGCCTAAAAAGTAGCGAAAGTAGCCCAATTTTGGCCTAAAAAGTAGCGAAAGTAGCCCAATTTTCGCCTAGAAAGTAGCCCAATTTTTGGCTACAAAGTAGCGAAAGTAGCCCAATTTTGAGCTACAAAGTAGCAAAAGTAGCCCAATTTTGGGCTACAAAGTAGCGAAAGTAGCCCAATTTTGTCCTAAAAAGTAGCGATAGCCCAATTTTGTCCTAAAAAGTAGCGAAAGTAGCCCTATTTTGGCCTAAAAAGTAGCCCAATTTTGGCCTAAAAAGTAGCGAAAGTAGCCCAATTTTGGCCTAAAAAGTAGCGAAAGTAGCCCAATTTTGGCCAAAAAGTAGCCCAATTTTGGCCTAAAAAGTAGCACAATTTTGGCCTAAAAAGTAGCGAAAGTAGCCCAATTTTGGCCTAAAAAGTAGCACAATTTTGACCTAAAAAGTAGCTCATTTTTTGACCTAAAAAGTAGCTCATTTTTTTCCTAAAAGTAGCCAAAGTAGCCCAATTTTAGCCTAAAAAGTAGCGAAAGTAGCCCAATTTTGGCCTAAAAAGTAGCGAAAGTAGCCCAATTTTGGCCTCAAAAGTAGCGAAAGTAGCCCAATTTTGAGCTACAAAGTAGCAAAAGTAGCCCAATTTTGGGCTACAAAGTAGCGAAAGTAGCCCAATTTTGGGCTACAAAGTAGCAAAAGTGGGCAAAAAGAAACAAAAAGTAGTAGTAGTAGCGAAAGTAGAAACAAAGTAGCGAAAAGAAACTTTTTTTGGGCTACAAAGTAGCGAAAGAAGCCAAATTTTGGGCTACAAAGTAGCGAAAGTAGCCCAATTTTGGGCTACAAAGTAGCCCAATTTTGGGCTACAAAGTAGCGAAAGTAGGCCAATTTTGGGCAACAAAGTAGCGAAAGCAGGCCAATTTTGGGCTACAAAGTAGCGAAAGTAGGCCAATTTTGGGCTACAAAGTAGCGAAAGTGGGCGAAAAGTAGCGAAAAGTAGTAGCGAAAGTAGAAACAAAGTAGTGAAAAGAAACTTTTTTGGGCTTCCAATTTTGGACCCAATTTTGGGCTACAAAGTAGCATAAGTAGCCCAATTTTGGGCTAAAAAGTAGCGAAAGTAGCCCAATTTTGGGCTACAAAGTAGCAAAAGTAGCCCAATTTGGGCTAAAAAGTAGCGAAAGTAGCCCAATTTTGGCCTAAAAAGCAGCAAAAGTAGCCCAATTTTGGCCTAAAAAGTAGCAAAAGTAGCCCAATTTTGGCCTAAAAAGTAGCAAAAGTAGCCCAATTTTGCCCTAAAAAGTAGCGAAAGTAGCCCATTTTTTCCTAAAAAGTAGCAAAAGTAGCCCAATTTTGGCCTAAAAAGTAGCGAAAGTAGCCCAATTTTGGGCTACAAAGTAGCAAAAGCAGCCCAATTTATGGCTACAAAGTAGCAAAAGTAGCCCAATTTTGGGCTAAAAGTAGCCCAATTTTGGGCTACAAAGTAGCGAAAGTAGACCAATTTTGGGCTATGAAGAAGCGAAAGTAGCCCAATTTTGAGCTACAAAGTAGCGAAAATAGCCCAATTTTGGCCTAAAAAGTAGCAAAAGTAGCCCAATTTTGGCCTAAAAGTAGCGAAAGTAGCCCAATTTTGGCCTAAAAAGTAGCGAAAATAGCCCAATTTTGGCCTAAAAAGTAGCAAAAATAGCCCAATTTTGGCCTAAAAAGTAGCCCAATTTTGGCCTAAAAAGTAGTGAAAGTAGCCCAATTTTGGGCTAAAAAGTAGCAAAAGTAGCCCAATTTTGGCATAAAAAGTAGCAAAAGTAGACCAATTTTGGGCTATGAAGAAGCGAAAGTAGCCAAATTTTGAGCTACAAAGTAGCGAAAATAGCCCAATTTTGGCCTAAAAAGTAGCAAAAGTAGCCCAATGTTGGCCTAAAAAGTAGCGAAAGTAGCCCAATTTTGGCCTAAAAAGTAGCGAAAATAGCCCAATTTTGGCCTAAAAAGTAGCAAAAATAGCCCAATTTTGGCCTAAAAAGTAGCAAAAGTAGCCCAATTTTGGCCTAAAAAGTAGCAAAAGTAGCCCAATTTTGGGCTAAAAAGTAGCGAAAGTAGCCCAATTTTCGGCTAAAAAGTAGCGAAAGTAGCCCAATTTTGGTCTACAAAGTAGCGAAAGTAACCCAATTTTGGGCTACAAAGTAGCTAAAGTAGCCCAATTTTGGGCTACAAAGTAGCAAAAGTAGCCCAATTTTGCCCTAAAAAGTAGCGAAAGTAGCCCAATTTTGGCATAAAAAGTAGCGAAAGTCGCCCAATTTTGACAGGATCACAAGTCCAGCGTGCTGTCCGCTCGGCCAACCGGCTCCCCTGAAGGCGATGGACAGGACTGAAATACCATAGTGATTATCAAGACTTACGGTTGCCTTTCCTCTTGTAGATGTGAACTATGCTGGAATATTTTAAACTGTTGTGCATCCTTCCCTTCATTCCACATGGACTGGAAGAGCTTTGTCAGTTTCTGCATCATGGTTGACCCACCTGTTTTGTACACTTCAGCATTTTTACTCAATTTTTCCAGAGGCCAAGCCTGGCCTCAGGCTGGGCTTGGGAAGTAGAACAACTCTCAGAACCCCATCAAACAGGTAGAGTATCTGATCCTGGCCATTTGCCACAGGAAAACTGCTTGATGGCCTTCCTGACTTCTTTTGTGGGAGGTTTATTAAGATCTTGGTTGATCTCCACTCGAGGTAGGTAAGCAATGGCCTTATCGTTGATTGCGGCAGGGTAGTTAAGGACCTGATCAAAGTATTCAACCCATCTGTCCAAGATCTGCTTCTTCTGCCAGCAGTTGAGGCCCATCTGCACTGAGGGAAGCAGAGCTAGAGGACTGTGGTCCATAAATAAGACTGATCAATACAACCTCACAGGATTGAAATCCAAGGTACACTAGTCACTGAAGAAAGGAAACTCTCTGCAAGCATAGGACAGGTTGGAGAGGGGTGCAGAGGCAAGAATCTGGCATTAGTACTTGCTCCCAGTAGTCAAAGATGGTCACAAATGCTTGGCAGGTCAGTTTTCGTCCTAGAATGCATGCACAAGCTCTGGAGAGCCATTGAAGGAGGCACTGCAGGTAATATTCATTTGTCTAAGCTAGCTGACCTCCCAAGAATTAAAGAATAGCTAACCACATTATTTTTTTGTGCTATTGATATTGTCTAAGTATGTTTGTCTAAATTTCCTATTACTGTATATAGTATAATAAAGCTCCACTAAAATATACTTGAATGGGCAAATAAATGACACTTGTGAAAACAGTGTGTTTACAGTTAGTGCCATTTTAAAATGCAAAATATAAATTTTTGAAGATAATTTTCACTTAGCTGAGCTATGAGCACTACCTCATTGCCATGTGATCAAATCAGTCGGGTTTTGAAGGACCATCCTTCAAAACAGACAATGTGTCTTGAAGGATCGTCGAAAGATGTAGTACAGTAATTGTGATTTAAAAAATGCTGTAATTATTTATATTTTATTACAAATGTTTTGGTATTCAGCAACCAGATGAACAGGATGAACATCCCTCAAATGACATTCCATTTGATCTCTGTTGAAGATCTACCCAAACAATCCAACTATTAAATATCTGTTGACATACTGCATGCGCATGCACTCAAGCATGACTGTAAATATGCACAAACAGAAGAGAAGTGACGATACCCATATATAAGTTGATAGATGAACAAGAGATAAACTCTTCCTGTATCTAGAAACACATGATCTAACACTGAAAATTTTGCAATTATGGAATGTATTTTAATGTCCAAAATTGGTTAATTCAAAAACTTTCTGAATGTTAATTTCAAGAGCAGCAGCAGGATTGTTGAGATTGAAGTTGGTGATGACTTCTGGATGAACTAGTCCTATGTGGCCGACAGGTGTCCCATTGATGATCACACTCCCACAAAACCCAGGAAAGTAACTTGGATCTGTAGGAAAAAAAATTAATGAATATTCTGTCATTAGGAGAATAAATATCAATATACCCTATTTAAAAATATTAAAAATATTAAATGACATTCATTTGCAGCAAGAGACAAAATTTAATGTCTCATATCCATAGCTGCCTCATATGGGTCTTCTAAGGTACATTTATTCTATCTAAATAAATGTTCTAAGGGCCATCTAAGACCGTTAAAAAGGTCTTCTACAGTTCATTTATTATGACCTTATGTTCCTAATCACTGGGAGAATGGTGACGTGAGTGGTGGCCTCACTGTTCGTCCTCTATGACCCAAACAGTCATACACACACACGATTGGAACAGGACCATTTTAACCCTAGGTAGGGAGGAAAAGGGCCTGGTGATGGAAGGAGGAATATGGTGTAGTGAAGGGGGCTCACCCATGTGATGAATCAAAAATGCCTGTACCCAATATTTGCATTACTCTGTACTGTCATTTGTTTATTAACTGAAAATGGGTCTTTGGCAAAACCATAGTGCCTAATTGGCACCATATGGACTCAGTGGTAGGAAGCACCAATATTTCCCCTGCAGATGACAACAGGCCCCTGTAGTACATGTAAGATGATAATGGTTCAAATGAGGATTGGTTAACTTGGTATATTTCATTACAACTACATAAGAGTTGTGAAAACCATATGAAAATGATCAGTATACAAATCATATATTTATAATTATAATGGGTCTAGGTAAACTCCATTACATCCATATACTGTATAGCAATTATAGTCATATTACAATCATTGGTATAACAATTTTGACAACAATATCTGAAATCAATGACACATGAACTAAATTACACTTTGAATCAAGACTCGGGTTGTTTTGTGGGCGTCTGGTCTCCGTTGCTGTGTTGTCTAGGGATTACTAATACTACCATTGGGCTTGTGTTTATCCTGAATTTCACAGGCCAGCCCAAGCTGTCCTTTCAAATACACTCAACACTAGATTTTGCTATTAGAGTGTATTCTGGCACTCTTCAATATCCAAATAAAGGTCATAATATCACTTACATGAGAATCTTTGCAGGAATAATTGAACAGTTTTGAAGTGCGTGTTGTTTTGAAATTAATAGGACATCCTAACTTAAAATAAGGTAAATCCACACATAACAAGGAGTTGAATATACAGTACTCACTTTCTTTTTCCTCTAAATAATATCCTTGCGAGATATCATCACCAGCATAAGGGACCTTCAGAGCAACCATAATATTGTCCAAGAGACCCTGAACTATTTCTATTCCAGCTTTTACATTGTAGTTAATGGCACACAGGTGTCGTTGATTAAGTGCACCTGTGCCTCTGGTGGCAGTAGGGCAACTTTCTCGCAGCACAACATCAGATACCTGTAATAAAAAACTCGACATTGAATGTAATGAAACGCCAATTTCTGGGCGAGCCCCAGAGGCTCTGTGAAACTGTTACACTGAATAACATCCATGCAGAGTGAACACAGCACCGACCAGACGAAAAGAAGAGGCATAAAAAAGCACAACCAACTCAGATGCCAGCACCACAGTGGCCCCACCTCGACAAACAACAAGCAATGCCCTGGCTTGATCAGGTACTACTGACTTGGGCTTGATACTTGGGAACGAGGCCTATCCTCACCAACACCCCAACAAATCAGCAACAGGCCGGCAACAACTGCCACAGCCACCCAAAATGGGGAAGCCGGAGGAAGAGCCAGGGCTCATGCTGAGCCCAAAGCTAGCATGGCTTGCTGACACGCAAGACGGGAGGTGAAAATTTATGAAAATGTCCCCATCCCCTCCAGAGATTGGAGCACACAACAAAAAAGAGCAACTAACTTTGAAGCTACATATACCACAACCTCGGCAGGAGGAACCGCACAGAGTACTTCAACAACCTCAGAGACAACAGAAGGAAGCTCCATGAGACAGAACCTCATGACAGAATGAAAGTACGAGCTGGAACAAATCATAGGCAACCAAAGCAGCTAAAAGGAAACTGGGGCATCCCACTGCACAAAGCCCCCATCATGAGGACAGGAGAGATGGGAATGCAAAGAGGGACCCAAAGAAACCTCTCAAAAACAGGAACACTGAAGACACCTCCTGCCAACCAGGCGTACGAAATGGCAAAACCCCCACCAAGTCATAGGATAAACAGTGGACAGTTCAGGACGACCCCAGAACCATGAACACACCAAAAAAGGGAGGAAGAACCAAACTCAAAGGAGGCCAGATCCATAACCGAAGCGGAAACCAAATTACGCAGGAGGCACACATGAAGGAACCCCCCCCCTTCCCAAGCCTCAGCCAAGGAACCAGTAAGGAAGTAAACCTCCAGAAAGATGAGTCCAAAGAACCCAAAGGCACACAGAAACGAACCCAAGGAAGAGCCACACCCAACTCCAACTCCCTGCAACAAAAGACCCTTTGCAGAAGGCATGAGAGCCCACAAAAGGTCCGGAACCCAAGAGCTCCACTCCCATTGCCCTTGAGCTCAGGTATTGCTGAAGAGGGCCCCGGGGCAGAGCTCTCATCCACGCCCACCACCAGGAAAGGAAAAAGGGGAGTCGAAGGGAAGGGGTCACCTGGGAAGACCCATAAGCTTCAGCAGAAAAAAGCTCATCTGCCTCCACGCCCACACAGGAAGGGTCAAACCCTGGAACTGCCCAAGCCACATCTCAAGCTAAACCTTCCCCTGAAACAACGCTTCAGAGCAGGAAGCAGGGGAGGGTTGGGGTTAATATTAGGATATTACATGACCAAGCTATCTAATTTTTCCATTCCAGTATCACAATATATAACCACACTTTTACTTTGTCTTCACTGATATGTCTCAACACCAACCTCAAGCAACACTGGATAATATTCTGTTGATAAGAACATAAGAATAAAAGAATTAGGGTGCACTGCAGCAGGACTGTTAATCAGTCTAGACGGATCACTTAAATACACACCCTGTATGTATGTATCCAATTAATTCCTGAAACCAGTTAAACTGTTTCAATGATGCTACCTGGCAGCTCATTCCACTCATCGACAACCCTATTCCTCAAACCAATATTTCCTTATATCCCTCCTAAAACAATTTATTCAGCTTATACCTATTATTTTGAGTTCTGACCTACTCCAACAATTCCAGAACCTATTTGAAAATTGATCATATTCCCCTTCCTTAATAAGTTACCAGAGGCAAAGTTCGTAACCCGATTCGGATTATACAGAGAAATTGGGCTCGTAATTGAAATTGGGCTTTAATAACTTATTAACCCTTGCACTGCTCACCTATTTTCGGCAAAAACGTTTTGGTGCAATTGTCAAGGACATATTTTTGTTATTTTTACAAATGTTCAGGTAAATTTAATGTCAAAATGTTTCCAAAGTCAACTATTTCCATTTCAAAACACAAATAGTAATGAAAACATTAAAAAACATTAAAATATAGCCAAATTAAAAAACAAAAAGAACAACTCTCTGAGCGCCTAAAGGCGCTTTGCGCAGTGCAGTGGTTAAACAAATGAGAAGGATTCAAGCCTAACAAGTCCCAAAGACGAGACAGGTTATCTGACTATTCTTAAAGAATGTAAAGATGAGCTCAATGAGCCCTTGTCTTGCAAATTTACAAATGATTCAAGTCAAGCAAAGAACCAGAATCATGGAGGTTTGCAAACTTCTTTTGCAGTGGTAAGTAAGTAACATGTCAAGTGAGAAAGTGGATGGAGGCCAAAATGTTCAGTAGCTTCAAAGCATTATATGACAAATAGTGCTGGGGAAGACGGGACGCCACAAGCATAGCTCTCATCCAGTAAGTACACTTAGGTACCAGTAATTAGTACAGAAGGTGAATTTTAACTTTCTGTGACCCATTTATTATAACTAAGTAGCAAAATAATTTACAGGCCTGATTTTTCCACTACAATTACTCAACCTACAACCTGCTACAAGACAAAGGCCTTCCACTGACAAATGTTTTAACTTGCACAGCTGTCACCAGGGCCAACATCCACCCATCGAATAATAGGGCACACTGCATTATGTCAATAAATTAATCTTTAAAGTTAGTACTAGAGGTCTTCTAAAGTTATCATTTAATAATACACAGAAAACAAAGAGGATATGTAAATACTGTCTCCTGTACTGTATGACTGATAAATAATGAACTGTTATTACATACATTACAGGATTTCTTCAAGCTTCAACAATAATTGTAGTTACCTCAAATAATCGCAGGGGTAAGGAGATGTGTTTGTTTGCAGCCAATGTTTTCAGTAGTCCGGGTAAAAGGCTGACTCGAAGCGCTTCACATTCAGTAGTTTTGGGATTAGCCACTTTAACCCAAGGTACGTTATCAATGTTCACTCTCATTCTCTCACCTATATCCATCTGAAAATAACAAATTTGTACAAACACTAATTCTCCAGTGACCAATATCAATCAATAATAAAAAATTTATTATATCTATACTCTAAGAGATAATGTGTTTCTTTGCCTGTACAAAGTTAAAGACCAGATGCTTGTGGCAAGCCTTACCCAAATTTGTAGGGAAAATGGTCTAGGATACAGGATGGACATAGGCTAGTCAGGGTAGGCCTAAGTTAAATCATTTAAGAAATATTAGTAATTACTGACACACCCCCTCATCCAATTCTCATGAATTCAATTCTGGTCAAGTATGAAATATTGGTCGAGATGCCCGAAAAACTTTTTCATCGTCAGAAAAAATTATTAGTTCCTTAAGACCCCATGTTTCATTGACTTTTAATATTATATGTTATGAAAGGGACGAAAGGCTAAGCATGGGGTAGAGGGTGGAGGGGTGGGGAGTCCAAGAACAAGGGGGAGTTATGGAGGATGATGGGATGGGGTAGGTTAGGAGGAGGGAAAGGTGGGTGGATGAGGGGCAGGGTGGAATGAGGGAGGGAGGATGAGTAGTTTTGGAATTTACTTTGGAATGTGGAATTTAACCAGCTACTTTGAAAGATACCAAACAGACAACTGTCATGCCCTTCAAGAAGATCCAGACAAAAAATAAGTGCATGAAGCAAAACTTGACAAAAAGAATTCAATGTGAATAAAAGGCATTAAAGACCTGACAAAGAAAAAGATCTAGGGATGGTTGTGGATAGTAGGCTGTCACCAGAGGATCACAAAGGACATTGTGAGATCACACTAATAAAATTATCTTTTGCCAACAGCAGTAGACAGTTGGAACAAGTTTAGTGAGAAGACCATGGAGAACAAACCCATCAGTAGTTTAGAAAGTCCTATCACAGTACTGGAAAGACAGAACACAATGAGCAAAAGTAATTACACACTTATTTCCAGATTCTGATACATACAACAAAGTAAATTGTGACTGTATGCTTACCTAGCTGTGCCTCTGGAGCACAATGGACATCCTTAGGTCCATCTTCACAGCTCTCGTACCTGGGGTTATTTAAACCTCCCGACTTTCTAGGTATCTGAACAATAACCACAACACTGGTCTTCCCTTACCTTTGAATATAATGAAAATGTGGCAGCTTCTGTGTAGTTATTCTGAGACATCAGTAATCTCAATTTGTCACTGAGATAGTTTAGTTCAATTTCTTGGCCAATAGTATTTGTTGGAGGCATTTGCAAGTCAGCTGCCAACCGATCAAAGCCATATGCCACGGCAAAATCCTCAGCTATATCACACTCGTGCAAAATATCATATCTGTTCCAGAAAAATTTAAATCAAATGTGTAGAGAAAAATACAACATTTCACATGTTTATCTTACAGCCTAACTATGTTTTCCATTGAGAGAATAATTCATGCAGGCTAGCTCAATGCACAAGTCCATGCTTATCTAAAAGAAAAAAGTTAGAGCAATGAAGCATTTCTACATTTCACCTCAACTGCTCGTAGTATACTTATGTATTCTTTAAACTTTTTTTTTTAACTTGTACTATACTTTTTTATTTAAGGAAATACTGCAGGTTGCCTTATTTTAAATCACTCAAGATCTTAATGTTATCAAATGAACATACCATACATGTTAAGAGTGTTACATACTGTATGTGAATTACTGAGCTGTATAATGCACTGTACCTTTATTAATACTTTGGCAGTCCACCAATGTGTTTAGCATCATCCTATGGCTTTGTGGTAATCAATATGATGCTAAAATGCACTTGGTTCATATGGTGCACGGTCTTTCTCAGAGTGATGGATCTCTCTCTTTCATAGGTATCTGGTGGGAATCCTAATTCTGCCCTGGGGCTAGCCCTGAGGTAGGTCCATGGATGCCCTGCAACCCACTTTGGTGCTTGGCTCTTGCAGGTCCTTTGCTCTGCACAAAAGTTTTGTACCTTCCATTGCAGCTCGAGTTCAATTTTCTAGCCCCCACAATTGCATTTCCAGGTTACAGTCAGTTTTATGTGTATTCACCTTTGCTTCGCAGGTCTTTCAGTGTTTTGTCTTTTCCCGGCTGTGGCACAGACAGAGTTGCTTCTGGTCCTATCTCTGGGCTGGGACTGATGGATTTAGCCTTCTTTGAATTAGTTTCATCTTTGTGGCTGACAGAAAATTCCATCACTGTGGGCTTGTATCCAGATTTTACCTGGATGGGGTTCTGGGACTTCTTCTATCGGCCAGGCTTGACTTGTGAGTTTGGTCAGCAGGCCATTGCTCGGAGCAGCCCGCAGGCCCACATTCCCACTTCAGCCCGGTTGGTCCAGCACTTCTTGCAGAAAACTATCCCTTCTTGCAGAAAACTATCCCTTCTTGCAGAAAACTATCCAAGATTTTTCTTGACTTTCAATTTTGTTTTGACAATATTGCTGGGAGGATATTGAACAACCGTGAACCTTTGATGTTCTCCGATTGTGCCTATGGCACCTCTACTCTTCACTGGCTCAATTCAGCATTTCTTTCCATGTCATTTACTACAGTATGATTTTTTACTGTACAAATTAGGGACCATGTATATATAATTTGGTATCTTTCTCATTTCCTTTCTAGTGAGTACATTTTGAGAGCCTTGAGACGATCCCAATAGTTCAGGTGCTTAATCATGTCTAAGCATACCATATATATATTCTCTGTATCCCCCCTCTATTTCAGCAATCTCTCCTACTCTGAAGGGGAAAGTGAGTATCGAGCAGTACTGACGGCAGGACAGCACAAATGATTTGAATAGTATTAGCATTGTGATGGGATCCCTGGATTTGAAGGTTCTCATAATTCATCCTATCATTTTTCTAGCTAACGCTACATTTGCTTGGTTATGCTCTTTAAATGTTAGGTAATCATACATCATATCTACCAGATCTTTTACAGGTTGCTTTCCTACTATGGGTAGATTTGATTGTCTTGTACCCAATATTTTGTTTAAGGTCTTCATTTTTACCACATCTTGGCTTGGTTCACTTTTCTACCATTCCCGGACACTCAATTAGTGTGAGATCGAGTCAGTATTTCAGGTGTTTATGTTCGATTTACCATTTGAGGTAATTGATGTCTGCCTTTATGCAGTAGTTATGCCTCAGAATGTGGCCACCTGACAGCTTGATATGAGCCTGCTGCTGCTGCTTTGGGTTCAACTGCTCACTCTAGATTATAGGAAGCCCCTTCATCTGGTTTCTGGTTTCTGTTTTGCATGCCTAGGCCATGCAGTCTATTTCACTGTGATTAACATCTCTTAAAGTATTTGAATCTTAGCCCTTGCTTCCTCTATCACTGTGGCTTCCTTTTCCATCAACTTCAAGCAGGTTTCACTGCACTTGTCATATTTCTCTCTAAACTTTCAGGTGTGTATTAAGTATTAATGGAGGAGGGGTGGCACGTTGTAAATGATTGTTTTAAGTCTTTTCATGGTCTTACCCCCCTCCACTGTTGCCATACCTAATATTTAATCTTGTTGGTTAGTTACCTCCAGTCTTTGATTTCCACGAAGTTCCAGTGGTAATACGTAATGGTATGTAGTATTACCACTGGACCTGACGTCATGGAGAAGGGGGACCTACTGCATAGGTGACAGCTTCTTCCCCGTATATCAACCTACCATGTCTTTACGCCCTGAAGAGGCCACTCCAGACCGACAACCAGAGCCTAACTCCAAAGTCTCCCGAGACTGATGGCTGCCTACTATGTAGTATTTGGTAAAGGTATGCAATTTGAAATTGATCACTATAAGTATGGTTCAAAGACGTACATTCCAAGAGTTGAATCGCATAGATTTGACTATTCACATACTGTCCACACATTATAATCAGAACCAATGTCGAACCACTGCCTCTCTTAGATATAGTGTCCACTGGGTACATACCTGGTTGGAGGAACCTCAACCATAACTTTGTCTTGTCCCTGTGGCTTAGCTGAAAGACTCATGGAGGTCAGCTTCTCTGCAATGTTTTCCGCAGTTTCACTCACTCCTGTTAAAATGTTGCAATACGAAACAGCTGCTTCTTGTTGACGGTACTGAAGGGTTGGATACTGGACACGCTCTCCACTGGGATACTCTACCTAAAATATAATTGACACATTTAAACTATCACAAAAATCATACAAACATTTGATATACACAAATAATATATTGAACCTATAAAAGTGCACTCACAAATCCAATATAGAGGAGACCTCTAAACAATGGATCAAATCTGCCCACCATATTTTCCCTGAATATTTTAATTTTGTATAATTCTTCAGAATACAATGGGAACATCATTAAATCCAGGTTGTCAGTTCATTATGAAAAGTAAATTTTAACTAAACTTTTTATTTTTTAATAATTTTAGCTATCTTGGCAGACCTGACAGCTGTGTGGACAGCGCTTCGGATTCGTAGTCTTGAGGTTCCGGGTTCGATTCCTGGTGGAGGTGGAAACAAATGGGTAGATTTTCTTTCACCCTGATGTCACTGTTCACCTAGCAGTAAATAGGTACCTGGGAGTTAGACAGCTGCTATGGGCTGTTTCCTGGGGGACATGTAACAAAAAGGAGGTCTGGTCGAGGACTGGGCCACGGGGACGCTAAGCCCCGAAATCATCTCAAGATAACCATCTCATCAAGAGATCTTGCTTTCTTATTTGTAATTATTATTCAAATTAATGCATTTATATTTAACAAATGTTTTACTATGCATGTACTGTCCTATAAAGTGAGCAAACAAGTTTATTTATGTGACTTCTTTCTGATGCATCCAGATCTACTGTGATGGCACCCAAACCACCATGTTTTACACTATATTTTCCACTATTTTCCACCATGTTTTACACTATCATTTCCCGATACATTATTTTGAAATAGTTGAAACAACATTATGAGGCACAAGCAGTACGAGCATATTGTACAAATGTGAAAAATTCCTTACCAAGGATAATAAAGAAGTTACTAAAAAAACATGACCACAGGTGAGGAGGAAAGCTGTTGGCTGAATACAACATTGGTACTAGTGTTGTTTCTGGTGTTATAAAACCAATGGAAGCATATCATATCATTTGTGAATCAAATAAAGAGCAGCAGTGTAGTGAGAGAAAAACACTGAAATCTTCAGTACATGAGGACTTTAAATGCCGATGCCTACCAATGATTTACGCAGCACTAGCCTTATGTGAACAGCTAGTGTCAAGCTGAAAAACTGGCATCAACCATGGATGTTGAGGATTTCAAGGCCAGTTCAGGAAGACTGCACATGTTTAACAGTCAACATAACAGTTACATGAAACCATTATTTATATATTTTTGTTCCTAACTATCCATAGACTTTTATTATATCACTTCCTGTAAAATATTCTAGAAGACTCAGATTTTCATGTAAATACAGATTGGGTCATGAACATGACCCCAATCTTCAGCCACAATAATATAGCTGAAGATTGATAATGGTCCAGGACGGACTGAAACGTCGTCATTTCTTTCACTTTCTGATGTGTGGTTTGATCATCGTGTAATCTGGATCTTGGAGATGCACCTGGTATTTCTAAAACTAAAAGATAATTACTGAACATCACAAATATATAGAAATCATGCACTGTTCAGCTAGAGGCTGAAGTTTTTTTTAATAACACAGTAATTACCTGAACTGGTTCAGCAGTGAAAGACTGTTCACAGTAGCCAGAGAACATACAGACAAGAGTGTCCAGCACAATCTGGGCTTTGTAACGATCAGTAGCAGTACACTCAATAAACACATTTCGTGTACTGAGGGTAATCTTGGAGTGGTTGCCATTGATGATAGGTGGCAGAGACAGCACTACACCCTTCTGGTCTGTGATCACTGGGTAAACAGGCTTGTCCTGCAAACAAGAACAAAAGTCATATACAGAAATAATTACCTTATAGTATATTGTACAGAATACTGTACAGTATTATCAGAACTACTGTATGCACAATGAAATCACACAAACATATATGAGAAAATATTTGAGTTGTGGAATGGGATTGAACTCACCTCAATATATTCTCTCAGAACTACAGTACTGCATGTTCCATTCTACTTTTTAAGTTTAAAACAAATGTGCTTAAAATTCTGTGATGCTGTAACTGGCAAGGTAATGCTATATTAATTAACTGTAAAGTCAAGAACTGTGTATCCTTAAGAAATATGATGTGGATTTATTCTGACCTTTTTATTAACATTTACATAGGTGTGCATGTTGCCCCCCTCCCCCCCCACCCCCACACACACACACACTGTGCCATTGAATAAACATTTTCAATATATTTATGACACTGCTATTAACACATTCACTGTAAAAAGCAATTGCAGTCGTTCAGAAGGATTATGCCAGGTTTGCAAAAAAATTACCCAAATCTGTACTGGTAACCTATTCTGGTGGGGCCCTCAGCAGCTCCCTGAGCAGAGCGCTGGTGAGAAATACCAAGCCTCGGACACCCTTACCTACCAGAAGCCAGGAACAGAATCTGGCTTGCTTTATAGACTGAAAAGAGCTTGGGAACCAGAGGTCTACTTAAATGTGATACAAATTAAAACCAGTAAGCATAAGCATAATAAAACAAACAACGGCCACCTAAGAAAGCAATACCTGGCCACCCAGGGATAACAGCCGAGTGCCTGCCACCCAAGAAAACATTGTACAGCTTACTTCAAAAATGCTTTGTTAAGCAACTCAAAAAGTACAAAATAATATTAAAATTTTACCTTTATAATGGGCACATACTCCTTAAGATGCGAATCATGAGAATACATTTCCAGGAGTTTGTCAGCTCTTATAACCTCAGACTGGTTCAGAGGTACAAATGAAATGTCTTGCGGTGGTTTGGCATCATATATGAAAGGACCCGAGATAGTGTCTAAATCATGAGTACCTGTAAAATAAACAGAGCCAGCCATTAATAAATATTCAATACTACTAAAGTACTTAACTAGAAATATAAAAAGTATTTTTAACCTATCGACTAACCTATCCCGAAGGCTCTTTTTCTCTGGCCATACTCAAACTCGAGTTAGTTTAGTCAGTAGTCTACAGGCTCATTACAGTACTTGCTTTTATTCACCTCATAATAACCCTTTAATTAGTAAAGTTTTCAGATTCTTTATTTTCCCTTTTTGTGAATTTTATCTTTTTTTCTAATTCCCACCTCTGAGTGCTTTCTGAGGTCAGTCCTATTATTTCCCTATGTCTATGTTATTCAGTTCATTTAAGCAGGGACTGCTTCATGTTTAGATAGCAAAACTAGTGCACCGGAATAAAATGTTTCAGGTGCTCCTGGAAGAAAAAGCTAATGTGATTCAGAAAAAGTACTAACTACTGTAGTTATTATCAAAAGCTTTAATAATCCAAAACAGCTATACAGTGGCTCCTCACTCAAACAGAAATAGAGTAATCAAAAACCAAGAATAAGAGCACAAAGTATTGGCGAAGGAAAACAAGCCATGATCTCCATACCAGGAGTGGGTTCTGGGAGTAGTAGTTCTCCCCTAAGCCCGGCCTGAGATCAGGCTAGGGACGTTTGCCGATTTTAAATAATCTTCATGCTAATATACAATATGTCACCAGGTAGCTGTTTAGGTCACCCAGGGGTACCAGCCAGCAAACACCTTTACTTGTGTGCCTGGTACCACCTACAATGCACCAGCTTCTGTGAGGACACAGTTTTCTATATTCTAGTTAGAAGATATAGTATTTCTTGGGACTTTACTGTCCTGCTGAGGGCTGTTCTTAATATCTTACTTCTGTTTACCCTTCTCAATGTGTATGCTACCTGCCTCCCGTGTCCCCTAGCATATTAGCAGTTATCTCCGATTTTGCGTTAAGGCTCTCTTCTATGTCCTCGGTTTGTGTTTCCCATTTCGTCAAGAGTTGCCTTCTTTGAGAGGTATGGGGGGTGTCCTTACTAGGGTTTCTCTTTGAGCTACCTTGGCCAGGTAGTACTGTACTTGGTCCTTAATGCCAGACCTGTTGATTGCAATGAGAAAGGTTAATTATGTGCTGTATTTTGTTTAGCACTTGATCCACTTCAGTCTTTTATGGCATTATGTGAATTCAGCCGAGATTTTGTGGCATCATACACACCTCTTCCATTTTTATATGGGATTAAGTGTGTGAAATCTGGCATCAGTACCCATGCATCTGGCTAATCCAGCCATTCTTAAGTGGACAATTTGTAGGTCACCCCCTTTTCTTTCATCACAACCCCCCTTCCAAAATCAGAATTATTTTTACCCGACAAAACCAGTGAGCAGATGTGATGTGTTCAGAGGGATTTGTTACACAGATTTCCTGATTTTCAAGAGTGCAGGATATACTTACACAAAATTTCAAATAATATTAAACAACACACAAAATAAAGTAGACAAATATAAGACAAATAAAATGTTAAGCCATATGTTTAACTAGCATTAGAAGTAACAGGTATGTAAAATCACAATTTTGGATTTAAGATACTGAACTGCAATTTAGTCAATTAAATTTTGAATTACATTTTACTTCTACCTCTTCAACATTACATTTTTTGTATCCCCATCTTTAAGAAGCATCGTCATCAAACTGATCTGTCAACCTTGCTAATATAACTATTGTAATGAACACATAGTTATAGTACTATAATGGTATACAGCATTAACTAAATTTGAAATTAATTGAAGTTTAACTATCCAGTCCTATATGTAATAAATAGATACTGTATTTACATAAATACAATATATAAATTAGCTTACTATACTAAATACTGTACAGATATTGTACTATGTAATATACTGTACAAGGATTTTTATTAAGTACACTTTCACTAATTAATGCACCAAGAATTACTTATAAACGCTGTGCATTTGCTGTGCAAGCTAAGGGAGCCGGTCGGCCGAGCGGACAGCACGCTGGACTTGTGATCCTGTAGTCCTGGGTTCGATCCCAGGCGCCGGCGAGAAACACTGGGCAGAGTTTCTTTCACCCTATGCCCCTGTTACCTAGCAGTAAAATAGGTACCTGGGTGTTAGTCAGCTGTCACGGGCTGCTTCCTGGGGGTGGAGGCCTGGTCGAGGACCGGGCCACGGGGACACTAAAAAGACCCGAAATAATCTCAAGATAACCTCAAGAGAAGCTCAGTTTTACTTATCAGTAACATTTCTCGGGTGAGCATAATTCACATATGGTGACAATCAATTTGTTATTTGCTTACCAATTGCAACTAAAGTGCGTTTCCGAGCTAGATTTTGATGCAACTTGTCCTGCAGATCAATGAAGGAATCATATGTAGCCTGATTAAATTTCATGTTCCGCAAGACAGCTCCAACTACATATGGACGCACCTGTAGAAATTAATTGCATAAAATTATGCATGGTATGTTAGTTTATGAAAAATATATGATTGATGAGATGATAAAAGGGACATATGATGTATTATAGGAAAACATTAATGCATTAACAGTAATTTATAGAATACAGTACAATAACTATACAAGGAGGCTAAATGGATCAGTGAACAACTGCACGGTAATTATCAAAGACCTTTAGTAAGAATGATTTTATAGTATAACACTAATCAAGTCAAAGATTGATAAAAAAGTCATAGATATCACTCAGAATGCCAATAAAGCAGGTAAGGTAGATATCTGGAGACTGTACTAAGCTAGTATGACTATATAGCACTTGGAAGGGATATGAGAACAAAAGCTAGGATAGTACAGAGGAAGGAACAGTGCCCAGCCACTTGGAAGATCAAAGACCAAAAGTCAACTTGCATGAAGCGAGACTGCCACTTTACCGGTGAGTCCCAGTGGTTGAACATATAGAGGAGCAGAAAGACTAAAGCTTACCTTTGATGAAGTACTCAGATAAACAAGTTTTTCAAGGGACAATTGGCTTAACCACTGTGTTGTGCAGCCTTAAAATATGACATTCCCGTAGTGTACCGTAAATAAATTTTTTGCAAAAAATTATTTTGTCTTCTTATACTGTACTGTTAAAATGCAGTCTCTGATCACAGGAAACTAAACAAAATATTGTATGCGACATACAGTATTTAGCTGTGATGAAGCCGAGAAGTTGAGCAAATTATGTTTCACAATTATTTTGATGTTTCTTGTTCGTTTCTTCTCTTGTTTTTGCTGTAATATTATTCAAGTGTGTAATTTGTGGAATTTATATACAGTGACACCTTAGCTTACGAATGCCCCTCTTTACGAACTTTTCGGGTTACAAGCCCATTTCTTCGTAAAATCCGAATTGCGTTACAAACTTTGCCTCGGGAAACGAAGTTTGTTGATACGTGTATGGCCGACCTAGCGCGTGGTGGTACAGCGATCGCGTCTCAGTTTACTAGTGCCTGTGCAGGCGATGAGTTACAATAACGTGGCTAAAGTATGATGACCAGACCACACACTAGAAGGTGAAGGGACGACGACGTTTCGGTCCGTCCTGGACCATTCTCAAGTCGATTCAATGAGATCGACTTGAGAATGGTCCAGGACGGACCGAAACGTCGTCGTCCCTTCACCTTCTAGTGTGTGGGCTGGTCATCTTACTAGTGCCTCCCACCTAGTGATAATCGCACCTGAATTCTTTGTACAGAAATTCAGTGTTTTTCAGATTTTTGGGTATTTGAACACAAAAGTTATGATTATATATCTTGCCATGGGTCCCAAGAAAGCCAGTAGTAAGGTTCAAGCCAAGAAAACACATGTGAGGATAACCATAGAGGAAAAACAAAGGATCATTCATAAACATGAAAATGGTACATGGGTTGTTGAACTAGCTAGGCAAATCTATGTCAATGCTATGCACTGTAATTACTAAGAAAAAGGATATTATAAGTGCTAAAGTGGCAAAAGGCATATCAACAATCACAAAACAAAGAACACAAACACTTGAGGATGTTGAAAAGTTATTAATTCACCCAGAGCAAGCTGTAGTATGCCATTGATTGTGTTAACCTTTTCAATGACGAAGTGATATTTCACTGCAGACAAGTGTTACAACATAAGGAAAAACAAGCGTCACTAGACAGGTTTTTAGTGAGAAAAACAAACAGTGAGCCACAAGCAGGTCCTAGTGGTAAGCAGGGAAAACATTGCATAGAGTGTTCCCCAGAGAAGTCATCACTGCCTGATGTTACAGTATAATGGTTAGGGACTCCCAAACACTAACACCTCTCCTTCCCCCCCCCCCCCCCCCACACCTCCTCACCGTTTTCCATACTCCAACAAGAGTCGTCAATAAAGGTAAGCAATAACTTGTACATACTTAGTACTAAAGATTTGGGTGAATTAGGTATAAAATTTACTTTGAAGTTAATTTTGGGGGGAGTGTGGAACGAATTAATTCAATTTACATTATTTCTTATGGAAAAATTCGCTTCAGTTTACAGATTTTCAGCTTACGAACCGTCTCTGGGAATGGATTAAATTTGTAAGCTGAGGTACCACTGTATGAGCAAACTGATTATAACTGCGACTTTATATATCAGAATCTGTGTATCTGTTGGGTTTATAACAAGCCTAAGGAGATATTGTATACCCAAATTCTACAAAGAAGCTGGAATTCATTTAGAAACTAAACTCCATCATCAAACAGTTAGATTTGAGATTACTGTACCGCATACTATATTACATTACTAGCAAAGTACACTATTTTTGTTGATTAAACCTTTACCTTCTTGATAAATTAAACATCAGCTCTCTTGCAAGAATAAAATAAAAATTCCAAACAATACATCACAGATGAAAAACATTCACACTAACCTGGGCTGTTGATGGCTTTACTATTAGCTTATACTTTTCTGGTTCACTGGCTGGCACTACACGATAATTTGGAAGCGATTCCTTTCCCAAGTAAACACACAAAGCTCGAGCGATACCCTCAAAGCACAGAAGGTCGTAGCGATTGGCTCCAACTTCAATCTTGTATGTTACCCCTTTATCTGGGTCATCAACTATATCATCGACTTCCAACCCATACTGGAAGCACAGCTCATCAAATTCTTCATCCGCTGTGGAAATACAAGGATTTTATTATTGCTCAGAGATAATTAATTAAAAGTAAGCATTCATAATCATATACTACTATAACACTGAAAAACATCCTCAATTATGTATGGCAGGCCTACTGCAAAATATATTGAGGATGTACAAAATTGAGGATGTACCATATGTCTGCAGAGTTGTTCTTTGGGACTAGGAACAACCTGCTCACCCAGGACAGGGACGAGGTCAACTCGACCATGATCGAGGCTAACAAGTCCACAATAACCAGACACAGAGCTGGGAAGAATACCATACCCAAAGCCCCAACCCTCAGAAAGGTTGGGATCAACCTGCTCTAATGCACGGCCGTGGCAAATGACTCAAAAGCCCCACGAATTGTGGGACCGTGAGCTGGCAAAATTAGCAAGACACCCCTCCCCTTACAGCAGCATCAAAGGAGCAAACTGCAAAGGGCTCAGCATAAACCATGAGCAGAACCACCCTTCCATGACCACAACTTCCAGAGACCTCAAATAATGAGTGGGCTGCCGGAGGACTTAGACCCAAACCCCATCCTCTTCCAGACTTTCAACTCCTCATCCATCTTCTACCTCCCCCCCCCCCCACATCCTTCCCAAGCCCTTTGGACATTGATCGTGACCAGTTGGTGCGACATCTAGCAGAAAAGAGATTTACAATTAGAAGTGCAACTGCCTGGGAATCTGATTCTCTCAAGGACCAACCTAGACCAACAGCATGCAAGGCTCCAAACACACCAGACTGCCTTTGAGTGGGGACAGAACCCCGAGAAAACAACAAAGAACCAATACTCTGACAGGAGAACGCTGCTGTAGACAGAACTTGGGACACTGCATTCTCTAGAAAGAGGCAAGAATGAGGAAGTGGACAAAATGGTAAGGGACAAAGCAAAATCTAATGAAAGGACCAATACATCCTGTTGGTCCTTTCCGAATAAAATGTCACCAGCGCTTCCTGAGGGAGTGGGACCAACATTTTAGGCAAGGCTGCCATGGAAGGAACAGCAAACTAGAAGGCCTCCACACTCGGGGCAAGACCAAGAAACCAAATCCTCGCGTAGCTGCCCAGAAACCCCCTTCACAAGGAACCAAACCCGCAAGAATGCAGCTAAGTGCAAACATGCCATGTTGTCATTCATAGTAAGATCTCCAGATAGCACAGGCAGCTGCACATGGAGCTGCCACCTGCCCACATCCCTGGGGAGCACTGGAGCAAACAGGCAGTCCCTGAGCAGAGTATACTCTATTATATAAAAACAGCATGCTCTGTATTATAAAATACAGACCATATCGTATTTTTTATATTATTAGTCACAAAAATATTTGTTTTGTGAGGATTTGTGGTGGCCCAGTAACGCATCCCCCATTTAAAGAAATGTGCCTATGGAAAATCTTGCTTTGCATTCCAATCAACTACTGTACTATAAAAACATATTCTTAAAGCATAACTCATTCATAGTTAGGGAACTGCCTGTATACCTAAAGACACTATCAGACAAGTCTGAAATTGTCCGATGCATGTTTGGTGTAAAAAATTTAAACTACTACACACCAATACTTTATCTTTTTTGTATTTGTTTCCAAAGCCATCCTAAAATGATACATATACCAAAGACAATACATATATAACATTTTCCACAAAAAAATTAAAGATACACTTTTATATATTAAAAATTAAAGATAGTTTTTTTATATATTAACGATCAGAGGTCATGTCATATGAGCTTTATAGTATGTGGGTTAAGCTTTGGCTCTATCCCTCATACTATAATAATAATAATAATAATAATAATAATAATAATAATAATAATAGAAGGTACAATGGGGTTGTGATGTAATGGTCTGTTGCACAAGTCTAGCTTTTCCCCTTCTCCCCTCTACCCTTGCCGTCGTTCGTCTCCCCCTCCCTTGTTCATCCCTCCCATTTGCCACAGTCCACCCTCACTTGTCATAAACCCTGAGTCAAGAGGTCCTCTCTTGGCCCATCTCCGTTTGCCACTCCATTTCCCACTCATTTTTTCCTCTCTACCCCCACTCCTTCCCCTCTCCCCTGCCTTTTACTATAACCAGTGACGAATTGAGGAGCAGTTCATTCGGTGCCATAAACCGTAGTTCTCAAGTTTCGAGTGAGGTGGCTGGGGGCCATATAATGTCCAGTCGGTGTCCTGTTGTAGTGTGGGAACGATTCAGGATTCTACGGGATTAAAACATAACTTTCAGGGAGGCCTAGTGGGCAGAGTCCCCCAGGGTAGTGCCAGATTTCCCATTGGCTGGGCCCTCAGGCCTAGAGCAAGATTTTGTACTCATTGGCTTAGGCTTGGAAAGGCAGGGCTTAATGGGACTTAGGAAAACGTAGAGGGGGAGGAGCCTGTCCCACAGAGAGTTTTAGAATAGATAATAGTGGAGTGTGTCTTAAGGAGATAGATCCCTTCAGAACCTGGGGGCAGCCAATCAACATCTGGCCAGATTGCAGGATTAAGGTATTGTGCACTTGAGTGTTTATGTACATCATTGATTCATCCAATTGCCTCTTAGGGCGTTTTATTAAAGTAGGATAAACATTGTTAATTTGATTCCAATATACGTGTTTTAATTAAATAAAGTGTATTAATGTATTTGTGGTTAGTTATCTGTTCCCTTTGATTAATGCAGAGTCATTTTTTATATGTGGTATTCTCGTGTGACATTGGAAGCTTCTGAATCCTCAATAAGTAAAGTAAAATTATATAAATTAATTCCAAAGATTTATTACCAAGATTCACATGCTCTTGAGTTTTCATGATTATTGAGTTCTTTCTTTCCTGGAAGGTCAGCAATTTGACACATTCAAATGGTCAGGGAGGTGTAACAAATTTTATATCAAAATATAACTACAATAAAAACTGACAGGTGATTACACTGGTGAAGATATACAGTGTGTCTAAATGTTTCCTCTCACCTGTTTACCACACATCTCCCCCCCCCCCCCTTGACCCATCACCCCTCAGAGCTATCTTTCCCCTTGTTATTTGCTTGTTTTAAAGCAGTTTGATACCACTAGTGACGTCTAGGACCACGACCGCCCAGGTTTTTACCTCGACGGCTGTTGCAGTAGCAATACATGTGGGGGGAATGTTTCCTAGAACAAACACAATACAGAGGTGACACCGCTCTTCACACAGACACAAGCATAACTTACAGTAAGACTTGTCGAGAGCCTTAAACAAGGCGTCCCGACTCACAGAGACGGTGGGCATGGTGGTGGTGTAGGGGCGACGAGGACAGGTGAAGGCAGCTGTGGGTCCCAGCTGTGTTGTGGCTGCCACACGTCTCCCTGCACCGGTGCTCGTACGCTCCGCTAAACTGATGTACCTGTCACACCACAGACGAGACCCTCACACCTCCCTTATTTTATTTTATTTTTATACGAGAAGGTACATTGGGTTTATGAGAGTACATAACATTGGTGTTCTTATATTCTTGTAAAGCCCCTAACACGCAATCTTTGTGCTTGCAGGATGCTAACATTAGCAAGAAATATGAGGGAAAAGTTCCTTGGCCTATACATAGAAAAGAGACTGAACTTCAGCACCCACATACAACACATGGCCAAAAAAGTATAAAAAGCGGTCGTTATATTCTCTAAAATCAGATATTTTATTCCCCACTCTGCTCTCATCTCATTATACAACGCGCTAATTTAGAACTTATTTTATATACGGTATCTGTGCATGTGATTCATCCACTGCAAATTACAGTGACAAGCCCATCATCACTCAGCAAAAATCTGCTATCGCAACTATAACGAACTCAGACAACACATAACCTCTCTGTTTAAGTCCCTTAACATGTTCAACATTCGCTCACTCCACACATTCTCTTGTGCTATTTACATGTACAAAACCTTGTTCCTCAATGCTAGTCTTGCTCTGAAACTTTTCCTTGATTGGTGTAATAGAACCCATGAGTACCACACCAGAAATAAATATCTCTTTGATATCCCCAGAGTCACACTAAACTGTGCAAACACTCCATGCAAATAAAAGACAAAGTCTATGGAACTCACTCTTTGATGAATTAAGAAATTGTCCAACCTATGCCTTATTCAAAAGTAAAACCAAAAAGTACGTAATTTCATCTTTATAGTTTCCTACCATGTGCTTCAAACTCTCACTGTGTCTTGTGCTACCCACTTTCCCAATATCAGTACTGTATTTAAGATAAATATCTTCACCACCCCTGTTAATTTATATTGTAGTTATTTGTTGATATAAAACCTTGCTACAATGTGCCTTTTCATCTTACCTGATATGTTAAATTAAGGACCTGCCCGAAACGCTTTGCGCGTTAGTGGCTTTGCAAAAATGAAAAAATAACAATCTTATGTAATCTGTGATTGTAACCTATCCACCGCTGCCCACTGGATGGGGGGCGATGTGCAGGACAAACATATTAATTGTGACACTAGCTCTCCACATATGTCAGTTGCTTAATTTAGAAACTGTACTTGTGGTCGATCTCGAACCCATTGTTGATGTGACGACTTATATTGAATTTTGTAACTAGCTCATCAAGATTGTAACTTGCCTACCTAAATGAACTGTGGGGTTCAGTTCCTGAGCCCATTATGCGCCTCTGTAACCCTTTCCACTACCGCCCACAGGATGGGCATGAGGTGCATAATAAATGAACTAAACTAACTAGAACAGTAGAGCCTGGGTCGTGCAGGTCGGCGTTCAATCCCCGACCGTCCAAGTGGTTGGGCACCATTCCTTTCCCCCGTCCCATCCCAAATCCTTATCATGACCTTTTTTAAGTGCTATGGTCATAATTGCTTGACGCTTTCTCCTAATAGTTCCTTTCCCTTCCCACTCGTGAAACTTCACAGATATGTGGATTCTGGCCCTGAGGTCCTTTTCTTCATCAATCTGCTGCAGGGTAGTTTTGTTGGTTTGGTTGTTAATAATAATAATAATAATAATAATAATAATTTATTTAGGAAAAGTACATACATAGTGATAATGATAATAATTTATTTAGGAAAAGTACATACATAGTTGCAGAGTTACAGTACAAACATTCTGCTTGATTTAAAGATAGAGGTAGTACATACAATACCTAAAGCTACTAGTACGCATAGCGTTTCGGGCAAGGTGAGGTGGGGAAAAAAAAAGACTAAAACTTAATAGTAATTGAGCTTAAAGTATAAATTGCGTTGAAAGAAAAATAATAAAATATAATTATAATAAATAAATTAAATAAAAATACATAAAATATATAGTTGTGGTGTGTACTGTTCCCTATGCCCCTATGCCCCTATGCAAGGGCTTTCATTTTTCGATTTTAAAGGTGCCAGTATTCCGACCTCTTGTGCAGATCATGTAGATCTTTTTGTAAGGCCTCAGTATCATTATTACCTACTGTACCATATATCTTAGTGTCATCCGCAAATTTGATGTGGTTTGCAATATTCTCATCTATGCCATTGATGCATATGGCAAAAAAGCGTTGGCCTCAAAATGGAGCCTTGCGGTACCCCACTCACCACATTTCTCCAGTCACATTTATTACCGTTTAGTACAACCCTTTGTTTTCTTTGTCTTAACCATTGTTTTATCTATTCTAGTATTTTACAAGTATATGTGCTTGTACTCGCAAGTCTTTCCTGTGGGTACGTTTTAAAAGCTTTAGCAAAGTCCATATATATATACTACATCAACTGGAATTCGTTTCAATAGCCGGTTACCATTTCGAAAAATGTTAGCAGGTTTGTAAAACAGGATTTATTTTTAACAAACCCATGTTGCGTTGATTTGACTAGATTTATCACGGTGAGATGGCGCACGATTCCTTCCCTTTGGATTCTCTCCACGAGTGTGCAGAAATGCTCGGTCACGCTGGTGACGATGAAGATTAAGCCACCCAAAAGGTGGCACGGACATGAATAGCCCGTAATTGGTGGCCCTTTTGAGCCATTACCAGTATCAAGAGCTGATACTGGAGATCTGTGGAGGTGCGACTGCACCCTGCGTGACGGGAGATGTCTCCCGTGGCAGTCACACTGGTCGGTCGGTTGTTTTCTGCTGAGCTCTTCCTGTTTTTCTTTTAAGATAGGGGTAACTTTTGCATATTTCCAATTTAGTGGAGGGAACTATTAGGGAGAAAGTGCCAAGCCATTACGACTATATAGCACTTGGAAGGGGTCAGGATAAGGATGGGATGGGACGAAGGGAAGGAATGGTGCCCAACCACTTGGACGGTCGGGGATTGAACGCCGACCTGCATGCAGTGAGACCGTCGCTTTACCGTTTGGCCCAAGTGATTGGACCCAATCTAGTGGAACTATCCAGTGATTTTCTGAAAGGTAGTTTTAGTGGAAGACATTTACTTCTTTACTTCTTTTCTTTGTTTAACTAGCCACTAACACTCATAGCGTTTCGGGCAGGTCTTTAATCTAACAGATCAGGTAAGATGAAAAGGTACATTGTAGCAAAGGTTTTATATCAACAAATAACTACAATATAAACTGACAGAGGTAAAGTCTTTACACTGGTAAAGGCAACACCGGTAAATGTCAGCCTATGTCTTGATATTTTCAAACAATATTAATTATTGACCAACTTGTTTAGCTGCTGATATCTGCCATGTAGAAACCTAAAGAAAATTGTAGGCTGTTTATTTAGTTAAAATTACTTCCGTTGTTCTGTTGCATTTTCTGCTGTTCCATCCAACATTAATTATTGTAATTTTTTCATATTTCAATTTCAACTTATGCTTTTGATCTCATTTAGTTGCAAGTCTTAGTTTTTAAGTGTTTTTCCCACATGTCCGAAACGTTGTGCGTATTAGTGGCTTTAGGCTTCTGTTTATAACTCATTTTCTATGTGTGTGTACTTTTACTTGAATAAACACTATTATATATTATTATTCACTTCATTACTCTTCCCCCAGTTGCCTGTCTACCTTTACGTGCTCAGTATATCCAGTTCCTTCTTTATTGTATATTGTATACCTCTCTTGTTTATCCCTAATAATCCTTCTTGTTTACTTGTGCCACAGTTTTACTACATTGGGTATTATAATAGAACTAATATTTATATATTGTACCTCTATTTGTATATTTATTACTCTTATTTCTTTAACTTTTTACGCTGCAAAGACCAGTCAACATCACATGTTGGCGGGTGAGATTTGGCAAGAATAAATTAGGAAGTCTTCTGGGAAGTATTTGTAGAGTTCATCTTGGTGTGCAGTTGTGTTATTGTGTATATATGGGTAGGTGCGTGTGTGTGTGTGGTGGGGGGGGGGGGAGGTGCGCGTTCACGCGTGTGTAGGTGAGCCCATGTGTGGGTGAGCGCGTGTGGGGGTGGGCGCGTGTGTGGGTGGGTGGTGTGGGCGTGTGTGTGTGTGGGTGGGTGGGCGTGTGTGTGTGTGAACGCATGTGTGGGTGGGCGCGTGTATGTGGGTGGGCGCGTGTATGTGGGTAAACGCGTGTATGTGGGTGGGTGCGTGTATGTGGGTGGGCGCGTGTATGGGGTGAACGCGTGTGTGGGTGGGTGCGTGTGTGTGGGTGGGTGCGTGTGTGTGGGCGTGTGTGGGTGGGTGTGCGCGTGGTGTGGGAGGGGGGTGTGGATGAGTGCGTATATCTCTCACCATCAAGGCAATCTTAATACAGCTCTAGGAAATACGTTTGGCATGATGTTGTCTGTTAGTCTGGCTGGAAGGCGCTGTTATGGAAGTTACTGTTCAACACGTAACTGTCATAGGCTTTTGATCTTAAGCTGCCGTTGTCAGACTCCTGCGACATTTTGACCGAAGGATTCTTTCCTGCAGCAGGCATTTTGACCGAAGGATTCTTTCCTGCAGCAGGCATTTTGACCGAAGGATTCTTTCCTGCAGCAGGAGAAGCAATGGAGGCATCAAAGGAGTCTTCGACATCCATAGTGACACATGCCACCTTGTTCCACTTTTGCTCCTTTCCCGACGCGAAGAGCACGAAGATAAGAGCGTCCGCTATGAATAGGCTTGCCGCAATGTAGAACACTTTTCTCCACTGCCCAAACGTTTGCTGTGGAGTGGAAACCAATATTTACATGCGAACCTTTGCTGCAGGGGTAAGATATGTTGTATGATCAAGTAAGAAATGTGGCAAATCTCATGTATTTTGGAGCATTTATTGTAGAGAGCCTTACGATAAATTTATGAGTAAGCATGGGGCGTGGATTTGAGTGTTAGTTATGATCAAATTTAGGCCCAAAGTCAAGCGCTGGAACTAGATAGGCTGTTTTTAATGCTGGGGTGTTGGTGGGTCATGATATAAACTGCACTCGTGTTCACTAGATGTGAAGAACGATCACTAATGCTAGAAAGTTTGCTGTGCGATCAAATTCAATTGAATGCAAGTGTTTAATATATCTTAAAGGTGTTTTTGTATTGGTGTTTGTTGTGCAAAAGAGTGTATTTGTATATCCTTAGCTACCTGGTTGTTGGTAAGGGCGCCCACGGTCATGGGCGCCAACCAGCCAGGGATGGTGGCGGCGGCGTTGGTGATGCCGAAGAGCGTGCCGGCGAAGTTGGGAGCGATGTCGACGTGGTTGACCATGAAGCCCGTGTATATGCCGCCCTGCAGACTGACAGCAGTGAAGAGCAGAGCGATCGTCGCTGGTCGATTACACTCTACCAGACTCAGGCTCAGCAGACACACTGCTGGACCTACGTGGCCTGCACAAGGGAACTATTATAACAGCAATCAATGATTAAACTAGATTTGAAATTGAAGGTAGAAATGATGTGATCTAAAACTACACAATAATCCATAATTTTTGTAGGGTAAATTACTCTGAGTTAAAGAAGCAATTAACATAATGGTTTAGGTGTTAAACAGGTCCAGGACTCATCAAATACTTAAGGATTTACTTACGAACCCTGTTCATCATTACTCGATCAAGAAGGCTTAGTCTGTGCTTATTAAACAGTTTACAAGCTTGGAGACGCTGCGAGCTTGTTCTCAATCCATGATTATTATTGTTATAGACCACCTCGTAGCTCTTCCGAGCTCCTAAACTGTTTGATAAATGCAGATCGAAATTATACTTTCTGGTGAGGTCAGTAAGCTTCGAAACCCTCCAAAGAATGATAGGTCTTAAACCAAAGTGCTGTTCATAGGTCGGTCGGGCCGGGAACCCGTCAGGAGCTGGCGAGTAGCAGCGGAACCCCCGTGGAGCACTTCGTCTCTGTCACCGAGGAGTGACGTCGTCTTCAGCATTAGTCATCCGCTGACGAAGTAATGATACCAACGCTGTGTTGGAGATTGTCTTGCGAGGAACTCCGGGATAAAACACACACTAGGGGCAACACTTTCAAGCTGAGCAAGCCACAGTTTAGAACAGAAAAACAGGAGATACTTTTTCACCCAAAGGGTTATAAGTGAGTGTCATAAGGGTGAGGGCGGGGCGGGGCGGCCTTTCATATTTCCTTGGCCTGAGGTTCGGCGTCTAATGCACCTCCTTCATGATGTCGGTGAATATGAAATGTTTTGTCCTGAGTCCGTACATATTATAATTTGTTTACACATTAGTGTATTCATATATTGATATTCAAATCGTATGTTCAGATGACACATTTACAGTCTGGGTACAGCTTTTTGGTTACAGTGATGGATACACTGTTACAGATAATGTGCAGCGAAAATGGATATAGTGATGCGGGAGGGTGGGTGAAACCTGGGAGGGGTGTGTCTGGGAGGGGTGTGTCTGGGAGGGGTGTGTCTGGGAGGGATGTGTCTGGGAGGGGTGTGTTTGGGAGGGGTGTGTCTGGGAGGGGTGTGTCTGGGAGGGGATGTGTCTGGGAGGGGATGTGTCTGGGAGGGGTGTGTTTGGGAGGGGTTGTGTCTGGGAGGGGTGTGTCTGGGAGGGATGTGTCTGGGAGGGGATGTGTCTGGGAGGGGATGTGTCTGGGAGGGGTGTGTTTGGGAGGGGATGTGTCTGGGAGGGGTGTGTTTGGGAGGGGTGTGTCTAGGAGGGGTGTGTCTGGGAGGGGATGTGTCTGGGAGGGGATGTGTCTGGGAGGGGATGTGTCTGGGAGGGGATGTGTCTGGGAGGGGTTGTGTCTGGGAGGGGTTGTGTCTGGGAGGGGATGTGTCTGGGAGGGGATGTGTCTGGGAGGGGATGTGTCTGGGAGGGGATGTGTCTGGGAGGGATGCGTCTGGGAGGGATGTGTCTTCTGGTGTGTGTTTTGGTCATCACATCTTCAGCCACGTTATAGTGAATCATCGTCTGCACAATACATATATTTACACAGCAGAGGATTACTTGAATTGTAATTAGTGACAGTGTTAGCGGTGATCAAGCTAACTGTTATTGCTGCGATTAACTGTGGTAAGGGAGGAACAGTGCCAAGAGAGAGTGAACACAACATCAATGATGAAGAGAGCATTGTTAAGTACAGTAATTTCAACCCGTCCTCCTGTTTAGATAGTAGGTTTTCTAACTATGAGCCCCATCGTACATACTTAGACGTAATGGACAATTAGATAGTAAAATTTAGTATTATTCACTTTATAGAGTTCGACAAAAATTAAGTTAAAAACCAAACTTAAATATTCCTAGGCCTAGTATAGCACATATATGCACTATATAAGACCGTAGATAACGTGTATTAGGCCTAGAAAAGCTAGGTTATGTTAAGTTTTCTTTGCAACATCAGTACGAAAACTTTTCCCCTTTGTCCAAATGTAATAGTACCGATTTCGACTTTCTAATTGCCTTTTACGTCAATATATGTACGATAATCCTCATCGTTACTATATGCGTTGCCTAAACAGGCGGATGTGTAAACTAACTCAGTTATAAATATATAAACATAGCAATCTCCGTGGCGCAGTGGTAGCACACTAGCCCCCCGCGCTTAGCGAGCGATTTGGCCTGGGTTTGTATCCTGGCCGGGGAGGATTGACTAGGCATCAATCCTCATCTGTTCACCTCTGTACGCCCCCAGCAGTGAATGGGTACCTGGTTGTTAAACGATTTGGCGGGTCGTATTCTAAGGAAAATTAAGTTTAAGGACCTCCCAGAAACGCTATGCATATTAGTGACTTTACAAAAGTGTATAAGAACTCTTGTAAAAAAAAAAAAATATTTATATTTTATGAATTTGAATTGAATTTGAATTCAAACTGACATAACTCTAAGGACAAGCCGAGCCATGTTTCAGTATCCACAACACCAAGGTTGTGGGTGTAGTGGATTATGGAGGGTTGTCAATTTTGTCCCAGGAGTATGGAGGGTTGTCAATGTTGTCCCAGTAACGTGGAGGGTTGTCAATGTTGTCCCAGTAACGTGGAGGGTTGTCAATGTTGTCCCAGTAGTGTGGAGGGTTGTCAATGTTGTCCCAGTAGTGTGGAGGGTTGTCAATGTTGTCCCAGTAACGTGGAGGGTTGTCAATGTTGTCCCAGTAGTGTGGAGGGTTGTCAATGTTGTCCCAGTAGTGTGGTGGGTTGTCAATGTTGTCCCAGTAGTGTGGAGGGGGTGAGAGGACAGGATAAGTGAGAAAAAAAACACACCAATAGTCGCGTGAAAGGTTGCTATAAATATGAGAGTCCATACCAATTGTGTTTGCCAGCTTCCTGACACTCTGGGTGGAGAGGGTCCCGGTCCGCCTGAGGGAGTCGCCCGCCAGGCTCACTATCAAGCTGAATATCCACATGCCCAGGTACGGCAGCCCGCTCAACACCGCGTCCTGTAGGCAGGGCGAACACTCATCACATTCATGGGTTACACCTCTTACTGTATGAGTCAGCAAGGTGCCGTATACCGATGGCCACTTGAGGGATCCAATATATATGGTGGTGGCGTATGGGTACCCCCATACAAATGTTCTTTGATTTGTAGTCTATGTAAATAGATTTTAGATAATGTTTTAGAGATAAGGTTATTAGCCACGCGGAAGATTAGTATTCAACAGTAAAAAGAGTAACGGAGCCGCAGTATGTTCTAAGTATCCTAGAAATCAAAGCTGGGAAAATGGGTTTCTGTCTGAGCGCATCATATTCGTCCGTTGTGTGCTTGGGTTTAATCAGACGTGGTTCTGTAGCGCAGTGGTCGGCGCAGTCGGTTTGCAACCGAAAGGTCCCGATTTAGATTCCAAAATCAGAACAGTGACTTTGGTCAGGCGTCCTTTCACCTGATGTCCCTGCTAGCCTAGCAGCAAATAGTTATCCATGAGTTAGGCAACTGTTGTGGGTTGTACCCTGGGAAAGTCTGTAAATAAATAATTAATATTGATCTCAATTACACTGTTCCACCTACGGTAGTTCTAATAGTTCAGGGTGCTCGTCACATCATTACACCTACCATTAAATCGTGTACTTTATTCAACAATTAAGCACAAGAACATAACAATAAAGGACTCTACCAAAGACCAGTTTCTCGTTCGAGACTGCTCCTATTTTTATCCACCCAAACTCATTCATGTATATGTGTCTAACGTTTGCTTGAAATAATCCATCTATAGCAATTTTTTGGCATTACAAAATAATAAAAAAAGATTGTAAATGTTATGTATTACAACGTACCGACTTAATGTCCTGGTTGAGCATGGTCTTCATGTAGAGGGGGAGGTCTGTGAGCAGGGTGTAGAAGCCCCAGTTGTTGCCCAGGCCCGCCACCAGGATGGTCCAGAACGGGACGGAGGTCAGGGCGTGTCTCCAGGGCATTGGCGGTACCTGAAGCATCGTGCCAAGGTCACACTTACATTAGATTATCGTCCTTCTAGCTACGCTCCTGTCCAATCCTCACATCCATCCCTAGCGGTTTTATCCTGATAATCATCTTACACTCGAGTTTATTTGATTACAAAATGTTAATAGACTCCGATTGTTCGTTAAATATTATCTATATTCCCATTCCCATCTCAGGGTAGTTTGTCATATCTTCATGCTATTAAAACACCTGCTAGCTTGCACTAGCTAACTTAGAAGGCAGAAGGCTAGTGTTTTTAAGTATTCAAGAATGAATAAGGTTGTTACATTACTCTATACTGAACCTAAATTTACCCGAGGGCCACCATCTATCTAGTGGCCACGACGGGCTCAGAGAGCCAGTGACTTGTCAAAGATATCCACCCAAAAATGTTACCCGAGAATGTTTTCCAACTGGATTTTGAAGTGCAGCAGTGTTTTGGCATTTACGGCATCAGCGGGTAAGCGGTTCCATGAGTTTATAGTCCTATGGGTGACACAGCGTCTCCTGTTGTCTGTCTTACAATGTGGCGTGTTGAGCTTGAAGCTGTTGCCACTTTTGTGTGTTACATCTGACTTTTTAAAGAAGTGGTCTGGATTTGTATCCTCCAATTTGTTCAGTAATTTAAAAGCTTCACTGAGATCAGTCTTGTCATGTCCGGTTTGCAATGTTGTTAGTTATGTGGTCCTCAACCTTTCCTGGTAGGAGGGTCGACTTAGCTCTGAGAGGATTTTTGTTGCTCTCTGTTGAAATTTCTCCAAAACAGATTATGTCCTTTCTGAAGAGTAAGGTCTCCGTGTTTGGATACAATAGACTAAATGGGGGAGGGCCAGAGATTTGTAGAGTTGAATAACCACTTTCTTTTCCTTGAAGTCACTTTCTTTTCCTTGAAGTCAAAGATTCGTTTGGTTATTCCTAGAGTTTGGTAGTTTTTTACTGCGGCTCCCACTAGTTGTGCGAATTTCAGTGACTGGTGGATTCAGGTTCTTTTCTTTTTCATTCTGCTGCATTGAAGGCTGTGATGCGCACTGTTATGCCCTACATGCAATGTCTTACATTTCCAATATTAAAAAGCGTTACGATCATTTGAGGAGTTGTTATAGATCTCTTTGTATTACATCAATATCATTTTCACTTCCTACTTTACCATACAGCTTTGTGTCATCTGAAAATTCGATGTTGTGGTTTGTAATATTCTCATCTATGTCGTTGATGTATATGACAAAAATGGTTGGTCCCAATATGGACCCTTACGGTACCCTACCTACCTTGAGGTTACCTTGAGGTGCTGCCGGGGCTTAGCGTCCCCGCGGCCCGGTCGTCGACCAGGCCTCCTGGTTGCTGGACTGATCAACCAGGCTGTTAGACGCGGCTGCTCACAGCCTGACGTATGAATCACAGCCAGGTTGATCAGGTTGATCAGGACCTATCACATTTCTCCAGTCAGATTCGTACCCATTTTGGAGAACCATTCTAGTATTTTATCATTTATTCCATGTACTTTCAATTTCCTTGTCAGTCTTTCATGTGGTAACTTATCAAAAGCTTCAGAGAAGTCCATGTATACTACATCTACTAGAAATATATACGGTATACACTAAATTCTAATCCTTTTCTTAAACTTTTCCTTGATGTATGTAATAGAACCCATAATCACATACCAGAAATAGATATATCTCTGATATTCCCAGTCAGACTAAATCTATACAAACACTCCTTGCAAATGAAAGGGCCCAGTATGTGGAACTCACTTCCTTATGAATCAAAAAATTTTTCAACCTTTACCTTATTCAAAAGTAAAAACGAGGAGGAACTATGTACCTAATTTCATTTTCATACTATTCCACCTTGTGCAACCCACTCACCCAGTATATTACAATGTAGAAATGCAACTTTATCCCTATAATTTTATCTCTTTATACTCATGTTCGTTATCATGTTAATTCAAATTCTGTTACAATGTACCTATCATTACGCTTATTTGTTAGCTTAACGACCTGCTGAAACCCCTGTGTACAAGACTGTGCTACACACCCACCAGCATATGTACTAACAATTGTATCTTGTATATAAAAGTAAATAAATAAATAAATAAATAAATAAATAAATATGTGTGTCGGTGAGAGTTAAAGGGTGTGACTCGCCTTCTTATCCTTACTGTCCCCCAGACTGAGGGAGATGTAGTCCTTCTCAGCCTTGGTGATGTTGGTGTCAGTGTCGGGGGTGTCGGAGACGACGAGGAACCAGGCGCCGCACCAGACCAGCGTGGCGCCCGCCTGGATGTAGAACACCGCCTCCCACCCCACCCAGTCGATGATGGCCGCAGAGAGCGGAAAGGCCACGATGGTGCCCGCCTGCGACCCTGGGGGTAGAGGCACCCACGTTTACTGTAGCTACAATGGTATACATTTTACAAGTAAAGAATATTGCCCAGGAAGAATTTTTATGTTTATTTTTATATATACAAGAGTTCTTACGTTTTTGTAACCCCCTGATTGAAGATATTATGTTTGAACGTGGCACAGGAATATAGATATTCGAGAAAGCCATTGGAGAGAGAAAGCGGGGTGGATGAAGTGATATTTTATGTCTCACCGGCATAGATGATTGTTGAAAGTGTGGAGCGCTCCAGAGGCGGGGCCCAGGAGGACAGCAGGGCGTGGGTGGAGGGAAAAGTCGGCCCCTAAGGAAGACAGTCATGCCTTAAAAATGATCAAAAATACTCAACTCATATTTACCTTAGTAAGACCTTAACTTACCCCAGTCTCCAATGTAAGGCATAGATCTGCAAGCTCATGGAGAACATCCTAAGGGAGGGAATCATCATTCATCAATGAGTGAACAATCTAGGGGAAATCGACGCAACATGGGTTTGTTAAAAATTGATCCTGCCTTACAAACCTCCTCACATGTTTCTAAACGGTAATCAGCTACCGGTAATCGACTTTCAGTAGATAAAGTCATCAGGACAAACGGGGGTTACCTTTAACAAGCCGCCGCGCACGGCTTCCTGTCCTCGTCGAGGCCATTATAATGTATTAGTGGCCCTCAGGTAAATTCAGGTAAATAGTGGCTCTGTTAACCTTTACGAATCTCTTCAGAATACTTCAGAGTTGCATTTCAAACAGCTGTAACTCTTAAGCCTTTCAGGAAGTTGTAGAGCTTAATAACTTGCATACCTGATTTACCCGAGAGCCACTAACCCTAGTGGCCTCGATGAGGACAGGAAGCCGGCGGCTTGTCGAAGGTCCCTCATGGGTCTTTATGATCTTTCCCAGGTATATTTAAAAAAACACAGTTTTGGCAATTACGGCTTCGGGGGGTAGGCGATTCCATGGGTGTATAACCCGATAGGTGAAAAAGCATCTCCTGTTCTCTGTACTTGTGGCTTGTTGAGCTTGAAACCATTGCTCCTTGTTTGTGTTACATCTGACCTTTTGAAGAAACTGTCAGGATCAACATCCTTCAACTTGTTCAGTATTTTAAAAGTTACAATCAGATCCGTCCTGTCATGCCAGGTGTGCAGTATTATTAGCCCTGTGGCCGTCAAACGTTCCTGATACGAGAGATGACTTGGCTCTGGAATGACTTGTTGCCCGGTGTTTCACTTTCTCCAGAGCAGCTAGGTCCTGAAAATGAGGCTTCCATGCTTGGATACAGGAATCCAAATGTATACTTTGGATTACTGTATCAGATTCCTGCACCAGATTTTCATACATTTGTATCACTACTTTCTTTACTATAAAGCCATAAGTATGCTTGATTGTTCCAAGGGTTTGGTTAGCTTTTCTGACTGCTGCTTCTACCTGATGTGTAACTTTTAATGAGTGGAAGATTTTGACTCCAAGGTCCTTTTCTTCATCAATCTGTTGTAATGTAATACTATTAATTTGGGAGTCGTGGCGTGGGTTGTTATGCCCCACATGTTTGGTGTTGCATTTGTCGATATTAAAAGCATTTGCCCAGCAGACTTAGACCCATCGGTGAAGATGGAAACGGAGCGGAAGTGTGAAGAAAAGTGCTCAAGGGAAAAGGCGTTTCAGGACCGTAGGAGGGGTAAAAGCTTTAGTGATGCGGGTCAGGGAAGTACAAAATTTGGGAAGGGGGACCCTCCACGGGGGCAAGGGCGGAACAATACGAGGAGAAACAGCGAGACAACCTGTGATTGGATGCGATATCTGACTTGCCTGTTTGATGTCCCAGAATGAGTGCACTGATTGTTGATGTTCTGCTGTTATTTTCGCCTGATTGAAGCCCCAGGTGCCAGTCCGACCCGTAAGTATAAGCAGGAGTACTAGAGGACCCACTTCTAGTGGTAAAAGTCTTCAGTACGAAGATTTAGTGTAAGACTGATAAGAAAGTTGAGTGGGCTGCTGTACATCGGGAAGTAACTGTTTGATGTTTTGCCTTAAGGTACTTAGATGTTTGCCTTAAGCTACTCGGCCGCGATAGGACAACAGCAATTCAACCCAGAACTCTACTGAATCCACCGGGAGAGTCTAGAGCCTCCAACTTGTGACACAACCATGTTTTACAAATTGCCTGTCTAGACTGTGGCCAGTAGGTAATGATGTTCTCCAACATATCCAACTCCTTCAGAACGCGAAAAATCAAAATGGCATGATATACGAATGAACAAATTGTTTTGGAGCAATCATTCCAGTGATTCCCAGACATTTGCCTTGAACTATTGACCACGATAGGACAAGCACTATTCAACCCTGTTCCCGAGAAAATGGAAAATGCTGAATTACTCACCACCGTTACTCTTCACCACACATAACACTAATAACACACGACACGAAAGTAACTGTGACTCACCTCTGCGAGTCCCAGCAGGACCCTGACGATGATGAGGCTGGTGGGGCTGGACTTGGCTGCCAGGGGTATGAATACCGTGATGACTGAGGCTATGACAAGTGCTCCGCCGAAGACCCGCCGGGCGCCCACCACCTCGGCCAGCCGTCCTCCTGGAGACAGGTTACAGGGTTCGTCAACAGTGGTGAGGCAGGCAGAGGGCAAGTCAGGGGTAGTCGAGAAGGTGGAGGAATAACATACCACACCACCAATCCTCATAGTTACCACATGACAACACTGTGTACACAATACACTGAATATGTAGGCTTATGAATAATGAGTCAATACCGAATATGTCAGCCCGTCATCGTGTTGAGTCAGTACTTATAGCAACGATGTGGACCATCGTACATATGTTGACGGACTGGACAATTTTATAGCAGCATTTGGTACTACAGAATTTGGATAAACTGGAAAAGATTTTGTATTTATACTAATAAAACTTAACCATCCTAGGCCTAATACACGCTATCTGAGGCCTAATATAGTACATATGTGAGTTATACTAGGCCTAGGTATATATTTAAGTTTGGATTTAGCTTGATTTATTTCTATTTTCTATTATTTTTATTCTATTTCTATTATTATCTCCCTGGCCAGTGGTTTGAGTATTCAATGAAAATATCACAAGATGTTAGTGAGGCTGTGACACCAGAGGTGTTTGTGTCAGTGGGGAGGCGTGAGCTAAGCGTGACCTGGGATGCAGGCTACACTTTATTTACGTGAGCAACTCTGCCTGGAGGACTGAACATTACACAAGGAAACCACAACATTATGATATATCTATCATGATGTTGCGGAGAAAATCTTTCGAGCAGGACAAGGATCGAGCCAGCGTCCCGCGTAACACCCAGACGCGCGCCCTGGATCCCGGGAGATCCACTGGTAGTGTGGATGCACCAAGCTGGTAGCCAACCAAAGTTTTACATATAACCCGCATGCACTGAGGTGTGGGTGACGGAATTCTCCACCAAATACTCCCTTCAAATACACATAATATGCAGGATATATCACTGCATATTATGCAGTGATATAAAATATGCAGGATATATCACTGAAGACAAATGTTCTCACTGAACATTACTTATGAGACTGGAACACCTGAGGGATCAGCAAGATTCGTATAGTGCATGACAGGGGACTAACCTCCTTAAATACCATCTTGCATACATTAACATGCCAGAGTTAGTAATCTACTGCTTCTCCTTACCCCCCTCCCCCCCTCCCCCCAAAAAAGAATTATTCAGAGGCTTTGCATCTATTCCGTCGAAGTATGGTGGTGAGTATATAGCTCCTTGTATCAGGCTATTATTATTTTATGGGCCAATATAGGTCAATAGGACTTATACAATTTTATTTACTCTTATGTTCTTATGTTATAAACCGAGAAGGAATATAATTCGCAGATACTCTTACATGATTCCCTTTTCAGTAATCTACTCAACATTTCCTGCCAGAGTGACTTATGTTCGGTGGCTCTTAGTGAATTTCATGACAAGTTCTCAATGACTTCTTAGGGAGTACCTAAGCAACAGAAGAGAGTCACTGTGAGGGGCGAGGTCTCAGACTGGCGGGACTTCACAAGTGGAGTCCCGCAGGGTTCAGTCCTTGGACCTATACTGTTTCTGATATATGTAAATGATCTCCCAGAGGGTATAGACTCATTTCTCTCAATGTTTGCTGATGATGCAAAAATTATGAGGAGGATTAAAACAGAGGATGATAGTAGGAGGCTTCAAGATGACCTAGACAGATTGAATGAATGGTCCAACAAATGGCTGCTAAAGTTCAACCCGAGTAAATGCAAAGTAATGAAACTAGGCGGTGGAAACAGGCCAGATACAGGATACGGAATAGGAGATGAAGTACTTCATGAAACAGACAGAGAAAGATCTAGGAGTTGATATCACACCAAACCTTGACAAAGACAAAGCTTGAAAAAGTTCAGAGGTATGCCACTAGGCTAGTCCCAGAACTAAGAGGCTTGAGTTACAAGGAAAGGCTGCGGGAGATGAACCTCACGACACTGGAAGACAGAAGAGTAAGGGGAGACATGATCACTACCTACAAAATTATCGGGAATTGACAGGGTGGATAAGGATAAACTGTTTAACACTGGTGGTACGCGAACAAGGGGACACAGGTGGAAACTGAGTACCCAAATGAGTCACAGGGGACGTTAGAAAGAACTTTTTCAGTGTCAGAATAGTTAAGAAGTGGAATACATTAGGCAGTGATGTGGTGGAGGCTGACTCCATACACAGTTTCAAATGTAGATATGATATAGCCCAGTAGGTTCAGGAACCTATACATCTGTTGTTGACTGTTGAGAGGCGGGACCAAAGACCCAGAGCTCAACCCCCGCAAGTACAAATTGGCGAGTACTTCGTCATTTTGGGCGAGATCCAGAAGACTAATAGACTAAGTGTATCTCCTCTCGCTTCTCTTGAGTCATCCTTTACAAGTTGTGTTTAAAAGCTCCTCTCCATAACTTCGATTTTTTTCCCATCTCATGTTTCTCGACTCACACACTATCTCCGTAATTTAGAGCCCGCATGATGAGTAGCACAACTCTCATTCTGTGCGCTGTCGTTGATTCTCTCTCTAGTTTATTTTTGCATGTTTTGTACATGTCTTCATATTCTCCTCTGGGTCTTGTGCTTGTTGCGGGGGGGGGGGGGGATAGAGTAAAAATAAATTGGTTTGAAAGGCGGGGTCCAAGAGCTAATAGCTCCATTCTGCAGATACAAATTGTAAATACACACCTGGGATCTGGGTCCAGATATATCCCCAGAAGAAGGAGCCAGTGATGAGGCTCTGCGTCCATTCGTCCCACGTAAACTCCCCGGCCTGTAAGACAACAGCAAGACAACAGTGTGAGTGTGTGTGATCAAACTTGGCAGTGACACAGTTGGTGTCAGTAATGGGGTAAGAGAAGGGAGAGTGTGACGAACTCTTGCGAACCCGTGGACGAGGCTATAAGGGTTGCGAGAGAGTGCGAGTATTAAAAAAACTATAGGCTTTTCCCTTTTTAGAGCATTTAAAGGGTTTTGAACCGACATTTATAAGAGAACAGTGAAAAAAAAGTGTCAGTCTCCAACCACAACATTGCGTAATTTATATTGTGAATAGTGCAAAATTCTACTATCTAATTGTGCATTAGGTGAATATATGTATGATGGTCCCCATAATTACAAAAAAGTACTATCTAAACAAGAGGATGGATTGGATAAACGCAGATTAATCAAAGATTCGCAGCAAGGCTTTATAATTGTTGACATATTTACTCCAATATTTTCCAGTATATTTGAAGCCGTTGATAGTGAGAACAAATATGATATAATATATAACGACTTCAGCAAACCCTATGATTGTGTCCCCTACAAAAGACGGCTTCGGAAAAGACGTAGGAACAGTTTACACATTAAAATGAAGCAGTAACTGCGTAAAATTTATTTATTTATATACAAGAATGTACATTGGGGTCTAAGAGAGTACATAGTAATGATGATGATTTTACATTCGTGTAAAGCCACTAGCACGCATAGCGTTCCGGGCAAACGCTAAAACATTTGGAGCAAAACTTATAATAATTTAGATAAAAAATTATTGATAGGTATAATGGGGTAAACATTTAATACTAAAAGAGACGTCAGTAACGTATGTTAGAATGTTCCAGAAATAAAACAAATGATAATATAAATCCGATACTTAATGATGACAGGCATAGACTATTAGGGTGTGAATATGTCAAAGGAAACAGAGGGTCCACGTACATATCTGAAGTTAAATCCTATTGGGAATTTAGACAAGTGGATTCTCACAAGGGTGTGCTGTAGCCTATGTTGTTTATAGAGTAAATCCATTAGCAATCGAGACACCAAATCAACTTGTCAAACCACCTCGAGTTCTTTCATCCATCACCTATAGATATTTGTGATGGATGACAGTAAATTACACTTTCAATAATAGTCTACTTCTAACCTAACAAGTGACCTTTTGTCCTAAATAGAGAATATTCTCAAGTTATAAATTAATTGTATTATAAATCGTTAGTTAAAATATAAAATATATATGCTAAACACGTTTCTCTGAAATGGTCTGATGGACTTAGTTTTCTGTAAATTCAATTCAATGGTATACTCAAATAGTTTTCGAATACCATATTTCGCATTTTGGAAAATAATATGCCGTATTAACGTCACCAAACATAATGAAATCTTAACCTGTTGTAACCGTGGATAGGGAGTAGGGTATAGCACTACTTACGTAGTGGTTTTGATGTCCTTACTTTCAGGGGATTTTTTCTGAAGACAATTTGTGATTACCATACAATATAAATGAATGATTTAGATATATGAACAACAAATGTGCTTTTGTCACTATAATAGGGCGACAAATAAATGCAGAACACTACTGAATGACTCTGATAGACAAAATAATAGATTTGCAGATGGGCTGACGCATGTAATGTTCTGAACATTGTAAATTTATTGGATGTTTAGAGTTGATACAGGTGCTTAATAATTCTATATGAGAAACATCATTAAACAAAAAGTCTAACAGCGACATATCTTTCTGATTCAAATTTAAGCCAGCTTTGTATAAAAGATAAAAGTTGATGATATCTTTTTATTGTTCAGTGTTTCTCGTATAGATATATTTAGCATTATGATTATCGTTCACACTTAAGTGTGAGGGACAATTAAGTCAAATATGTTCATAATGAGATGAAAAAGCATTGCCCATAATAGGCCACAAAGGAGAACCCATTTGCTACGCAATCTGTTTGACACTACAATATTGGTTATTGAATATTAAATGACCTACAAGTTGAGCTGTTTTAAAGTGCCTTTACAAATATAAAAAAGGCAACAAATTAGTGAACAGATTATCATTGGAAATATCAATAGATTCATTCAATGTAATATTCAATGTAATAATTAGGGATTGTACAATAAAAGTGTACATAACGTTTTTCGGGTTGGGGCCCAAACTGAGCATGCCCATAATAAAGTCAAACTATTATTTATGATATATTAATTAACCGTCAAAGGATATAATGTGAGAAACAAATATTTTGCTGAATTTTAATTAAAAATTACAATGGTACTCAAAAACAGATTGAATTGGGACAGCGATCTTAGGTGTTTTGTAAATTAAAATATTAGTTATATTATAATATATACAATTAAATATTTATTGAAATCACATTCTGTTAAGTTTGTATTCTAATTTGAGTATATGAGAAAAAGAACTAAAACCAAAGTTATTAAAATTGGGTACAATCGCTATCAAATTAACCTTGTCTAATCTAAACTACAAACTCACTTACCTTATCATGCTTACCAATGGGTATACCTTTATCAACTTACATATTATTAATAGCTATTGGCCTGGATGTGTTAACATATGGAATAAAATAAGACATGAAAATTTATAAAAAAGAGGAAACTGACATTTAGTATATCCCATAAATAGCAAATAACTGACGCTAGTGACGTCACTGAGTTTAGATTAGTTCATTTATTATGCACCCCATACCCACCCTGTGGGAGGTAGTGGAAAGGGTTACAGAGGTACATAATGGGCTCAGGGACTGAACCCAACAATTTATTTAGCTAATCAAGTTACAATCTTGATGAGCTAGTTAAAAAATTTAATGCCCATCGTCACATCAACAATGGGTCCGAGATCGACCTCAAGTACAGTTTCTAAATTAAGCAACTGACATATGTGGAGAGCTAGTGTCACAATTGATATGTTTGTCCTGCCCACCCATCCAGTGGGCAGCGGTGGATAGGTTACAATCACTTAGTTACTACCTACAGTTAGCAAACTGGGGATATTTGGCCAAACCTTCTAGCAGCAGATCATTTTGATTTAAATATTTACACATCTCTTGAACATTTGTTATAGTCGTAAGATACGTCTCTGAACTCACGTATCTTTCCGCGCTCCATCACATAGTGACGGAGGGTGTGCGAATAATTTTGTTAACACAGTTTACATTTGGTCAGGTCTACATCAGCAGATACTGACAGTAGACAATCTTATACAGTCATTGGGAGGACAAACCCTTCATGCAAACTGCACCTACTATCAAGAAGAAAAAAATCTTAGCACAAATAGTATAGGAGGCGCCGAAGCCAAGATACCCATATATATACTGTTACGACCAGGGAAGCCTATTTGGAGATAAACAATGATTTGAGAGACTAAAGCAAAGAGAAGGTTCGTTAGGTGACTTCCGGGTATTACAGTGCTGCCGAATACACGATTATTTGAGAATATGTGAACTACTCGCTATGTTCTAGACCTTGCAATTATTTATTATTGCATAGCCAGTAGGATTATTAATTTATGAAGTGTTTAGGTAATAATTGACAAAGTGAACTCAGAAGAAGGTAACTGTTGCAGTATTAGAGTTTTTTCCAGTACCCTGCCAGGAAATTCAGGGAAGAATTCAATTCCTGCAAGAAGGCGGTGCAGAGAAGTTTGATGCGTCCATGAATGTCACGCGGACTCCATCTCATGTTGGCCTTCGAACATGATAGAGCTGATTTAATTTGCCAAAGAATCTGCCTTTGAAGAATTCAAATGCAGAAGTTCAAAGAATCTGAACGTAACTGCATGCGTCCATTTCAGGCTCACCAGCATCGTGACTATTTTTAAGTGACATCGTTACACTTGCGTTACACTTACTGAACTGCGAGTCACCAATATGGTTATGCCTAGCGTCATAATCGCAGAAAATGATGGCGGCCTTTTTTTTGGATATAATGGATACCTAGGGTTAAAACAATATTGAAGGCCGAGTTTCTCATGTAAATATCCTTCAGCTTACCAATAGCATAAAACGGACTCATTTGGGCTCAACAATTCCTATATACATATGCCCATTGAGTCACTTCAACCCCTTCACCAAACAAGAACTAATCAGAGCCAAAAAAGGTGGTAAGGACACTGCACCAGGTGCTGATAACATTACATAATGATGTACATGCAGGTCCTGTTGGAGAACAAGGAATATTGGACGTTATCAATGCATCTTGGCAGCAAGGCAAACTGCCGACCTCTTGGAAGAAAGCAGACATCATTCCGATTCCTAAGCCGAAAGAAGCTGGCAATTACAAACCCATTTCATTAACATCATGCATTAGTAAAACTGCAGAACGGATGGTTTTAATTAGGCTACTGTGGAAGACTGAAGACCTGCATAAACACATACTTGGCTTCACTAGAGGAGTAGGTACTGCCAACTGCTTAGCAACATTACTAGGAACAATTAACTCGGGTCCAGCTATAGTGATCTTCCTTGATCTAGAAAAAGCATTCAAACTTGCAAGCCCGCAAGCAATTTTACACACCTTAGTTAAAAAGGGTGTAAAAGGAAATATGCTAGCATGGATTCAAGATTACCTAAGTCACAGGTATGCCAGAGTAAAGTTGCAAGGACATGTGTCGGACTACCACTTGCATGTGAATGGGACTCCACAAGGAGGAGTCCTCAGTCCTAGTCTTTTTAACTGCCGACCTCTGCCGAGTCACCAATTTGAACTTCTGCATTTGAATTCTTCAAAGGCAGATTCTTTGGCAAATTAAATCAGCTCTATGGAAAACCTCGTTACCATGATATTTGCAGAAGGGGTAAAATTGCTAAGCTATGCTGATGATATAGCATTAGTCATTACAGGTTGTTCACTTCTAAATAAAGCACAAGGTGCATTAGATAAAGTAACATCTGAATGCAGCGTTTTAGGGCTAAAAATATCTTCACAGAAGTCTAAGGCAATGAGACTAGGTGGCAACACTCCAGACAGGCACCTACACATTCAAGACATTAACCTTCAGTGGGTTACACAATATCAATATCTCTGAGTGTGGATAGATTCTAAAATGACATTCAACAAGCAAATTCAATATCTGAAGGAGAAAGGAAAATCATGACTGAATATATTGAAAGCAATCACAGGGCCTCGTCTAGGAGGGGGACACAAAGTGTTAAGAATGTTTTACATACACGCTGTTCGTTCCCTAGTTGATTATGCAGCACCTGCCTCACTCACTCTTTCTCCTGGTCAATGAGCAAACGTTGAGGTTATTCAAAATGATGCAATGCGAGTCATAACAGGAGCTCCCAGATGGACTAAACTACTGACCCTAAGACTAGAAACCAAGCTAACGTCAATTGAAATAAGAGTAAAAGGGATTGCTGTGTGCATGCTGACCAAGATATTGACTAGACCTAGAATCAGTTCACTTAAAGATATTATCACTGGAGCACTAACTCTGGATAGAAGAGCCTCCAATAGCAACAGGTGAACCCATTGTACGATAAACACCATCAATACATTCGATATAACAAACACAATCACTGAGAGGGGTGTCGACGAAATACATGCAGACTTTGTTATGCAAGCCCCTTGAGAATCGCTGCCAGCAGACTAAGATTATGGCTCTTGAAGGAATAAAGAACCAGACTAATCCTCATATGCTACGCAATATTGCACAGATGCAAATAGACAAATAGAAGCAAACTTGGCATCTGACAGGTTCACATACTTTACAGATGGATCAGTAGACCAGCAGGGACAAGAAAATGGAGCTGCAGTTAAAGCAGGAAACTCTGTAAATAGTTAGAGACTCTCAAATGCTAGCCATTCAAAAGGCTTTGGAACATGCTCTTGCTGAACACCGACATGTTATCATACATACAGATTCGAGAACTGCCATTGAAACCTTGTAACAAGATCACATACGTGATAACATCCATCTGATCACAAATGTCATATCATTAATGCAAACATTCAAACGACAAGGTCGACGGGTACTTATCAACTGGGTGCCAAGTCATGTGGGAATAATAGGAAATGGCATTGCAGACGAAGCTGCAAAACTTGCAACTAAGAGAAGAAATGCAGTCATTTACATACCACAGAGTCTATCACAGATTAAGAAAGTAATTAGAAACAGAGCAATGCAAAAGATGTACAGTGACCACAACACAGCAGTTGCAACATCAGGATCTGCGGGTTGGTACAAGAATTCAACCAACTACGAACCACTTAGTTTGATGAAAGGGAACAGTAGAACAACAGAAGTACACTAACATCGCATCAGGCTTGGATACCCATGTGCATGGGAAATAGGCTTCCAGGTTCCGGAAGATGAGAGGAAATGTCAGCACTGTGGAGAATTGCCCGACAGACCACTGGAACATTATTTAACACAGTGCACAGTTACAAACCCATTAAGATTTCAACTTATATTCAACAGAGCAGAAGAAGTTGTTAAACACATGGGACAAAATCTTACTGAAGCGACCATACGGGTCATAAATACTCATACTCCGCCCAAGTATAACAGAAACAAGCAACACTTAGTGGGCCAGCCAGAGGCTTAGGGCCCGTGCAGGAATATCCCTGCAAAAAAAAAAATCCCATTATGAGGATATGTTGACAATACGTCCATTAACTCTCTGTCTCACCTTTGGCATTTACAGGGATTGCAACATTGATATTGGATAAATATTTATACAAATAATGAATTCAACTGAGTACAAACATTAACCCATAGTATTTACCCGTGGTATTACTCATGGAGGCACTCACGTAATCGTGCGAATTTTGGTGTTCGTCTTGAAAGTTGCAGACGTCCTGCGCGGGGCTGGTAGTGGTGTTGGTGGTGGCCACCATGGCCTGGATAGTGAGGTTGATGTTCACCCTCAGCATGTAGTTGAACGCCATACCCAGGAAGGCCATCACTGCCACCAGGTACCGCTTTGGCACGTAGCCTTTGGGTTAAGAAAATATTATATTATATGCCGCTTACCCGCAACACACAAAAAGTTTTTGTGATACTGTTTTAGCTTTAGAGAGGGCAGGCTAGGCTATAGTTTGGAGAGACGAGAAAAAGCTCTCTAACATGAACTTCGCCAATAAAGTTAAGGACAAACAGCAGAAATTAAGTGTAGGATGTATTCGTAAAATTTCCTTTTAGCATAGATACTTCGGCTAATAAATACCAATAAGAATATAGAATTGTGCCTTACCGAAGCTGATAAATATTTAAATAAACTATTAAGAGTAAGGTAGAACTGCCGGGGACAAAGATGGACGAGGCCTACATGCTATATGTAGGCCTCCATACCCTACCCTACGTGTAGGCCTGCGTAGACCTATATACTACATCCTTCGTGAGATGTAGATCTTTTGAGATCTTAGAATCTACAAATAATTGCTAGTTTTGTATAATAACTATCTGGTATTTCACATTACGGTTTACATAATTCCCTCTCACACGAGAACAACTGTAGTGTTGTTAGTTTAGTTTAATTAATTTATTATGCACCCCATACCCATCCTGTAGGTGGCGGTGTAAAAGGTTACAGAGGCACATATTGGGCTCAGGAACTGAACCCCCAAAATTAATTTAGCTAAGTTATACAGTCTTAATAACCTGGTTACACACTTTAACACAAATATCTTGTCTACATTGTACCTACCATACTCTCGCCTCCCAGTGTGTTAGATGAGAGAGTATGGGACAACGTGTGTTAGATGAGAGAGTATGGGACAACGTGTGTTAGATGAGAGAGTATGGGACAACGTGTGTTAGATGAGAGAGTATGGGACAACGTGGACAACACAACCGTGATAGAAACAAGGCAGTTAACAACATAATTGAGAGGACAGTCTCTGCTGCCTGTAGAAATCGATCCCATCTGCTCATCCTGGGGGACTTTAATCACGGAAGGATAGACTGGGAGAACAAGGAACCGCATGGAGGAGAGGAAACGTGAAGAGCTAAACTACTGGAGGTGGCAACAAAAAACTCTTTAAGCCAGCATGTCAGGGAACCCACGAGAATGATGGGAAATGATGAACTAGCTTAATGTTGGTTCCTTAATGTGTTGTGTAAGAAAGCAATAGTCAATTAAGTCTAGAAAATCTTCTGCTTCATTATTCCCTGTTCTGTTAAACCAATTTATTCCACTAAAATTAAAGTCACCCATGACACAAATACTGCTAGACCTAGATGCTCTAGACATTTCATCCTATAGGTGCTTTGCTTCCATCCTGTCTGAGTAGAACAATAATACCATTGGTCCTAGGAGACGGGTGCATGGACCAATCTGGACAATGGTATCGCGAGCCCATTGTTGATGTGACGCTATGCATTGAATTTTGTAACTAGCTCATCAAGATTGTAACTTGCTTAGCTAAATGAATTATCGGGTTTAGTCCCTGAGCCCATTATGTGCTTCTATAACCCATTCCACTACCCCCACAGGATAGGTATGGAGTGCATAACAAATTAACTAAACTAGCTAACTGTTGAGAGGAAGAAGAGAGTGCAGGAGACGATTTTAAAAATCTTCTTGGAGTTCTTGAATTAGAGTCTGTAACAAATGTAAACTATCGGAATAGCTATTCTCATATATATATTTTTTTGCAGGGATATTCCTGCACGGGCCCTAAGCCTCTGGCTGGCCCACTAAGTGTTGCTTGTTTCTGTTATACTTGGGCGGAGTGTGAGTATTTATGACTCGTATGGTCGCTTCAGTAAGGTTTTGTTCATGTGTTTAACAACTTCTTCTGCTCTGTTGAATCTAAGTTGAAATCTTAATGGGTTTGTAACTATGCACTGTGTTAGATAATGTTCCAGTGGTCTGTCGGGCATTTCTCCACAGTGCTGACATTTCCTCTCATCTTGTGGAATCTGTAAGCCTGGGTAGCAATGTAAGTGTACTTCTGTTGTTCTACTGCTCCCTTTCATCACAGTAAGTGGTTCGTAGTTGGTTGCATTCTTGTACCAACCCGCAGATCCTGATGTTGCAACTGCTGTGTTGTGGTCACTGTACATCTTTTGCATTGCTCTTTTTCTAATTACTTTCTTAATCTGTGATAGATTCTGTGGTATGTAAATGTCTACATTTCTTCTCTTAGTTGCAAGTTTTGCAGCTTCGTCTGCAATGTCATTTCCTATTATTCCCACATGACTTGGCACCCAGATGATAAGTACCCGTCGGCCTTGTCGTTTGAGTGCATTAATGTTATTCTCATATATTACTAAGTAACTGATTGTATTAAAATAAAAAAATATAGAAATAACGATCACAAATGTTTAAGCATTTCTTTCAAAATGTTTAATATTTTGAAATCTTGAGTATCTTGAAATCGTACTACCTGAAATCGTAGCCGAGTATCCCAAATTAGCCAAATTAGTCTACTGTAGGTAGTACATGCAGGTCATTGTAAACTCTACACCACCGCCCACCGCCTGGGTGTGCGGTGCATAATAAGCAAATTAAAATATGAAACTATTTCACCACAAATGTAAGTGACTTTTTTAAAGATAGTATTGTAGTAGAGTTCTTGGAGCGACGGTGTGACCCGGAAATCTTCCTGCCACTCACTCACAATTAATGGGACCGAATGTCCATAAATTAAACTAACTAAAATTCTCACTCGCTTTTATGTCATCTTGAAATCATGGTTATGTTGGATTGATAACAACTGTGAATAGATTTATGCATATATTTACAAACTATATAATTGGCTGTTTGAAATTGCAACAAATATCGAGTTATAAGATCTCAGTTCATTATCTCCTAAATGTCAATCTATGTCTTGCTATTATCAAACATTGTCGATTAATGGCTAACTTGTAATACGGCTGATGTCTGCCATGTATAAACTTAAATAAAATTGAATTCCTTCGGTTTATCTAATTAAAATTACCATCTGCTATTCTGTTGCAATTTCTGCTGTTCCCTTCAACTTTCAATTAGTGCCACTTTTGTTCTACTTCGGTTCAATTCATGCTTATAATCTCAATTAGTTTTAAGTCGTAGTTTTTAAATTTAGTTTTTCACATCTTGCCCCAAGCGCTGTGCTTACTAGTGGCTTTAGGCACAGTATATACTTGCTTCATCTAGAAAGCCAGCAGTCTGTCTGTAACTCATTGTGTATGTATGTACTTTCCCTACATCGAATTATCATATAGTTATATAATAATTATAAAGTAACTTGTTTTAGCTGAACACACTTCGGGGTTCAATTCTTGAGTCCATTATGTGCCCCCCTGACCTTTCCCACTACTGCTCACAGGATGGGGTATGGGGTCCACTACCGCTCACAGGATGGGGTATGGGGTCCACTACCGCTCACAGGATGGGGTATGGGGTCCACTACCGCTCACAGGATGGGGTATGGGGTCCACTACCGCTCACAGGATGGGGTATGGGGTCCACTACCGCTCACAGGATGGGGTATGGGGGTCCACTACCGCTCACAGGATGGGGTATGGGGGTCCACTACCGCTCACAGGATGGGTATGGGGTCCACTACCGCTCACAGGATGGGTATGGGGTCCACTACCGCTCACAGGATGGGTATGGGGTCCACTACCGCTCACAGGATGGGTATGGGGTCCACTACCGCTCACAGGATGGGTATGGGGTCCACTACCGCTCTCAGGATGGGTATGGGGTCCACTACCGCTCACAGGATGGGTATGGTGTCTACTACCGCTCACAGGATGGGTATGGGGTCTACTACCGCTCACAGGATGGGTATGGGGTCTACTACCGCTCACAGGATGGGTATGGGGTCTACTACCGCTCACAGGATGGGTATGGGGTCTACTACCGCTCACAGGATGGGTATGGGGTCTACTACCGCTCACAGGATGGGTATGGGGTCTACTACCGCTCACAGGATGGGTATGGGGTCTACTACCGCTCACAGGATGGGTATGGGGTCTGCTACCGCTCACAGGATGGGTATGGGGTCTACTACCGCTCACAGGATGGGTATGGGGTCTACTACCGCTCACAGGATGGGTATGGGGGTCCACTACCGCTCACAGGATGGGTATGGGGTCTACTACCGCTCACAGGATGGGTATGGGGTCTACTACCGCTCACAGGATGGGGTATGGGGTCCACTACCGCTCACAGGATGGGGTATGGGGGTCCACTACCGCTCACAGGATGGGTATGGGGTCCACTACGGCTCACAGGATGGGTATGGGGTCTACTACCGCTCACAGGATGGGTATGGGGTCCACTACCGCTCACAGGATGGGTATGGGGTCTACTACCGCTCACAGGATGGGTATGGGGTCTACTACCGCTCACAGGATGGGTATGGGGTCTACTACCGCTCACAGGATGGGTATGGGGTCCACTACCACTCACAGGATAGGGTATGGGGGTCCACTACAGCTCACAGGATGGGGTATGGGGTCCACTACTGCCCCACAGGATAGGTATCGGGTCCATTACTGCTCACAGGATAGGTATGGGGTCCACTGCCGCCCACAGGGTAGGTATGTTGTCCACTACCCCTCACATAATAGGTATGGGGTCCACTACCCCTCACATAATAGGTATGGGGTCCACTACCCCTCACATAATAGGTATGGGGTCCACTACCCCTCACATAATAGGTATGGGGTCCACTACCCCTCACATAATAGGTATGGGGTCCACTACCCCTCACATAATAGGTATGGGGTCCACTACCCCTCACATAATAGGTATGGGGTCCACTACCCCTCACATAATAGGTATGGGGTCCACTACCCCTCACATAATAGGTATGGGGTCCACTACCCCTCACATAATAGGTATGGGGTCCACTATCGCTCACAGGATGGAAATAGAATGCAAAATAAATAAATTAAACTACAAATACGAAAAGACTCGTTAACCTGGTCCCCGATTCCAGTCCCGCCCTCTTCTTAGACAATCATCTGTTGTTAATACTGTACAGAACTTTGAAACAAATCACAAATGAACTCCAACTTACATATATAATTAAGTAGCAGAAAATTGAATTTGAAATAGACTCGCCTTGTTCCTTGAGTGAAGGAGCATCCATAGTGAGAGATTTTGTAGAAGTGATTCGCCAGCGGGCAGGTAAACACACACACACTGGGAGGTGACTACAACTCTCCACAACACTCCTCTCCACAACACTCCTCTCCACAACACTCCTCTCCTGCTTTACAACACGCACATGCTCCCAATGGTCAGATTTATCAGTTATAATCTAACCCAGTGATTAACTGTGTCTATATATAGTCATTGAGATATTATATAACAAATCACTTGAAACATTAAGTGAAGCTGCGATATTTGACGATCGATATAGATAATCGAGCGCGATCGATTTGACTTCATATGCAACCCGTCCTCAGACCAAGTCCATTCCATCCAGCGGTCGACCCCAAAGACGCATTCTTAAATTTTAACATGCTGTTCATTCAAAACGGGAATTTTTTCAAGTATAAATTAATATTATAACATATTACCATATTGTGTATAAATAGGCATAGGATAGGTTAGGTGTTTAGGTTCTGTTGGTGATTATTTGTATTTGTAGTACGTGGGTGAAGCATTTACAGCGTTGTAATTCGAACAAAATTCGTCAGTGAAGCACTTGTTCCGGAAGTGTTCGAACGTCAGCAGTTGTGAGTCGTGTGTAAACCGCTTTTCATTCATAAACAGGGGGTTTGGCGGGTGCATGGAATCACCTTTGGATCTTTGTTTGGAGGACGGGCTGATTTTCAGCGGTGTGGTTCGAACAAAATTCGTCGGTGAAGCACTTGTTCCGGAAGTGTTCGGACGTCATCAGTTGTGAGTCGTGTGCAAACTGTTTTTCATTCATAAACTAGCCCGTCCTCCAAACAAAGACCAAAGTCCATTCCATGCACCCGGCAAATCCCCTGTTAATGAATGAAAAACGGTTTACACACGACTCACAACTGATTTCGTTCGAACACTTCCGGAACATGTGCTTCACTGACGAATTTTGTTCGAACCACAACGCTGTAAATGCTTCACCCACGTACTACAAATACAAATAATCGCCAACAGAACCTAAACATCTAACCTAACCTATGCCTATATATGCACATTATGCTATTAAAATATTAATTTATATTTGAGAAAATTTCCGTTATGAATGAATAGCACATACAAATTTATGAATGCGTCAGTGGGGTCGACCGCTGGATGTAATGGACCCGTTTCAACGTGTAATTGAAACCAAATTGTCTAATTTCTCTCTTTATCTTGTATGTTGTGATCATATTCCCTCTGTTTCGTCTTCCTCTAGGGGTAGTGAGATTTAGTTACATAAGCCCATTGTCATCCACGACCACCTGACGGCCACCCACTATCACCACTGAACCCTTAACCATCACAGATAAAGCTCCCCCCCCCCTCCTCGGTAGTACCATCCAGGGTACTCTCCTGGTACTCTCACAGTGACCACCAAAGATACCATCCAGCTCCATCTCTCAATTTGCCACTCCAAGAACAACTAATCTACTTTGCCTAACCAGAAACGTACGAACCCAAGCAACCCGCCTAACATATTGAGGCCGATGCATACAAAACGTCAGTATTACAATCCTTACATTGTTCCTAATAAGCCACATTGTTAACGGATTGGCAAGTTCCGTAATAAATGTGATGTACAAGTAATTGCTGCTGCAACAGGTACAGTAGCTAATGAGGATTCAATATAACGGGTATAATGAAGTTTGAAGTGACCCGTTTTTTTGGATATACAAATGTAGGTAAAGGAACAGACTCGTGTTAGCAGGATGGGAGCTTCCCCTTCCCATAGATCATGGTAAGCCTTAATCAACAACTTTTCCCTGGAACACAGCTCGCTTGTCGGTTACCAACCAGGTACCCAATCACTGCTGGGTGAACAGGGGCGATCAGTCAATCCCCCCCCCCCCTGGCCAAGACTGAAACAAACAAACACAGACAGACAAGGAAATGTAGATGTTTATCTCTCAGAATGTTTGGTAATATGTTTATTGTTTATGATGTGATTATATGTATGTATTAACACGATGTACTGAACGGGGTGAGAATAGCTTGAGCTACCTCATCCCTTTGTGTGTATTTTACCTCAATAAACTTATTTCAATTTCAATTCAATTTCAATTTCAGACAGACAGACACACATTTGTTATAAGTCAGTTCTGTTGTGATCGCCGCTCGGGTCAGTGACTAACCGTGCTCTGAAAGTGTGTAGTGGGGGGAGATGAAACTGTGAAGGGGTTACTGGAATTTAGAATAGTGGAAAGAAAACTGGCAATGCTGGGAACTGGGAGTGAAGAAATTGGAAGCTCAAGACTTTGAAGACGACGCACCGGCAAATATAATCTATTGTCCTAGCAGGGAGGGGAAGGGAATTATCAAAGGAAAGCACCAAGCCATTATGATTATATAGCTAGCAGGAGGGTGAGGTAATTGGCACGCTGTCTGCTCAAGGTAGTCTGGCAGTGACTGACACAGGAAGAGTAACTAGGCCGAGGAGCAGTATGAGGGAACTCACAGTGAGAGGAGTAGATAGGATTGTAGAGAGCTTTGGGGGAATGGGAAGAGAGGGGGAGGGTAAATTTTGAGTTGAGGAGCTACTCTTAGAACAGAAAAAGTACTTGGATAAAAAATGGGAATGTGAAATGACCAAACATAAGCAGTGGTTAGAGGGATATTATAAAGCATTAATTAGGAAGATGGAAACAGTGGAGGGCAGCAATTTTATATATAAGTATATATAAGTATCTGCATGTTTTGTTCACCACAGCGAACCATTAGGCTGGTATAGTGAGTCCAGACAGTAAATGGTGGTCACACACAGTCAGCAGACAACGCTACCTCCCTCCCAACCAAGATTACTTCTCCCACTACAGCACTAATTATCACAACAATCCTGCTATTATCAGAATCCTGGTCATTTTTATCAGTCAGGGGTCTTCTGTAATACTATTATTGCTAAATAACAGCATGTACATATATATTTTGACATTTTTTGGCGATGCTGTGGTCACAAGCTGAACAGCAGTGCTGTGAGCTCGTGCTGCGTGTGCCAGCCTTGGTGGCTCACTCAGTACTGAGGCCCTCACACCCGTGAATGTTGCCCACGATTTTTTTTTTTAAATGGCGTTTGTTTACAAGAGCCTTGATGAAGGTGAGGTGAACCCCGTGTATCTGCAGGTCGTTTAAATCTCGTGTGGTACTCCAACACGTCATATGACGTGATGCGCACTTTTGGGTAAGTTACTCAACATGTCATATGACGTGTTGTACAGTTTAAGGGTTAAAGCAAGGCTAGAACAACACTTAACTGGGGAAGTTACCAAGAGACTCACCAGAGAAGGTATATTAATGCTTTAACTTGCATTTAATTTGTATTTCTTCTTTCCTGTAATACATTATCTTCAATTCAAGCAGAGTATGATAATTTCCATAAGCTACCAGAACTTTTCCATTGAGAATTAACCAAATTCCTTGTGAAGTATAGCAATAAGAAAAGTACACAGCAGTTAAGCAATTGTTGTGGAGTGCATCCTAGAAAAGGTCAGTAATAATTCAAGTACAGGCATCCTGTCCCCAACAATGAGAATTACATTAAAGTTTAAATGTAATTTGGGTTCCTTTCAATTTCTCAGCTAGGTCAGTCTTTACCAAGCACGTATAATAAATTCCCCGAATGGTTTTAACCAAACAATACAATACAATATGATGAATTTTTATATAAAATTAACCTTAGATGTTTGCCAGCATTGAGCTACTTAGGTGTCCTAAGAATGAAGAATTTTTAACTTCAAGATGTGTAGCATCAATCAAGAAGACGAACAACAAGGTAAGTTGAGGTTTCTAGTTGAATATTTAATAATTATATGTGGCAAGGCAATTCAAATTATGTTTGTAGTATAAAAAACCAGCGTTGAATGTAATGAAACGCCATTTTCTGGGGGGAGCCCCGTCGGCTCCCCGGAGCTTTACCGGCTGATATGCTAATGTCAGACTTTGGCATCAGTCATGTGTATGGAGTTCTAGGGCCTACCGGGGACCACGAGCCAGAACCTGGCCCCCTCAGAGAGGCAAGGGGAGCAATGGCCTATAGAAACCCCCTTGTGGTTGGAAGCATTCTATGTCTGCCATCGACCGGGTCAAGCATCCAGAAAGGTAAGCATTCCAAAACAAACCCCTATTCTGGTGAAAATTGCTACCTAAGCCGAACTAGTGAATAGAACTCTTCAACAGAAAACAAGGAAACTAGTATGACGTCATACGTCACCGCGCCGCTGTCTGCGCAGCTCCCCCCTCCCCGGGAGGGGGAAGGGGGAGCCCCAGACCTCCCACGCCGGCTATCCACCCATCAGTTCTGAGGCTGGATGTCAAAACACGCGAAAAACGCCGACCGGAGGGAGGGAGGGAGGGTTGCCGGGGAGCCTCCGGGTCTCACCCAGAAAATGGCGTTTCATTACATTCAACGCTGGTTTTCTGGGGGGAGCCCCGTCGGCTCCCCGGAGCTAACTACCCACAGAGGAAGGTCTAAAGGGACAAAACCGGGAGGCGGACACCACGTACCCCCCAAGGAGGCGAGACAACCGGCAGCAAACGCCAACCCAAGGCGCCACAGCCCCGAAAATCCCGGGAACACTAGAACCACGAGCAGCAAGGCCCCTGCACGAACACCAAAAATCCATGCCCGAAAGACTGCAAGGCCACGTCGCCCAGACGGCAGCGAGAGCAGCGAAGCCACGAACGCCACAGGCATGAGGGAAGAACACAGGCAGCTTAGCCGCAAGAACACGGCTGACCACCCGGGACACTATCACCCGCGAACCGGGAAGAACAGAACCGGATCAACGCAAAACGCGCTCCGGACCCAAACGCCGTGGCAAGCAAACAACAGCGGAGGGCCGCCACTGAACACAAAAACGACACCCCCCCGGCCCGACCAACGAAGCACCAACAAACCCTGGACCCCTCCAGAATGCAGCAGCCGCACCCCGCGCCAGAAAAGATGGAGACTGCTGCCATCAAACAACCAAAACGGTAAAACCGAAGGAGCAAGAAAACTCAGCGACTCGACCCCCAGAGGCAAAGGCCCAAAGGAAAGAGCCGACGAAAAAACACACCGGAACCGAAGGGGCACTACCAACCGAGGAGACAGAGCACGCTGACCAGAGACCAGGATGGTGCAAGCGGCGC